CCAAGTGCATCCTGCTGGCCGTGGTGCCATGTCTCTGGATGACTAGGAGAGGGACAGTCCTCAGTCCTGCTCTTCCCAGGCTGCATAGATGGCTAAGAGCCTTAGGGAACAGAGGTTTGGAGAAGTCAGGTCTAGCAGTTACAGTGCCAGCCTCCACTACGGAGACTTGGACTGGGCTTTCTTGCTTTGTCACAAATGCCCTCCGCGCTCCTCAGAAAACCAGTGAGCCCCCGCTGCGCGACGGAGGGTTGCCCTAGCAATTGTGAAGGCTTCATAACATCAATGTGGCAGCATGTCCTTAAGCAAAGCCTGTGCCACTGGGGTTCCTCCGCTCGTGGAGGCTTGTGTTGACCGCCTTAGGCTCAAATCCCATCCTGTGCAGACTATTGCCTCCTTGGAAGAGCAAAGACAGCAGCTGAGAGCCTCCTAAAAACCCTCCTGCGGTTTCTAACTTGTTCTGTTTCCCTTATCGCTTCAGCACACCCTTCCCCTTTGAGATTTCTACTCTTGCCTCCTGTCCTCTGGCAGGAAGGACGTTTAGCAACTTCTACTCACATGCCCGTAGGGCAGCTACACTGAGGGGACCTCTCGTTTGAAACGAAGGCTGGGAGAGCGTGGGCACGAGGCTGCAAGCAGGGTATGTGCACGGAGGGGAAGAGGGATGTTAAGAGGAAGGAGACCTGGAGGATGGGGCTGGATGGAGAACATCAAGCCACGGGGTAGGGTAAGTGGGATGGCAGTGAAGGGAACAGGGTTTGGGGGCAAGAGAAGCAAAGGAGTGGGTGGAAGGAGCCAGGGAGCGTGTGCGTATGGGGAAGGGCAAGAGGGGGATGATGGAGAGACTGGGGAAAGCGAGGGAAAGAAGGTGGCTGGGGTAGGGGAGGAAGATGAGCTGTGAGGGAAGAGGAAGGGAAGCTGGGGGTGGAGAGACGTTTGTGGCAAAGGCAGGGGAGAGGGTGAAAGGCAGGTGAAAAGGGGGAGGGTTGTGCATCCGCATTAGAGGCGTGTGTGGGGTAGGGACCAGAGGGGTTCTCTGGGTTCCTCAAGTTCCCCTCGGGCTCTGTGCTGGGCTCTAGGCACTGTACAGACCCCGGAGACATGAGAGGGAAGGTCCTGTCCCAGGGAACGGGGGCAGAGGAGGGCTGTGGGCTTGGGCCACAAGCCCCTGCTGCCGGGGCTGCTCCTCGGCCAGGCCTGCCCTGGCCCCCGGCACATGCCGGGTACGGCAGCAGCCGCCTGCGTGCTGCCATCACCCCACTTGGCGAGCAGGAAATAACAAGCAAACCGCAGAGAAGACGGGAAATGATTTAGGTAAAATCGGAGCCGTATTCTCAGACGAGGCTGTGAAATGTTTGCGACGAGGGCCGTCCAGCCCCCCCAGGCCTATGAGGGGGAGCCCAGCTCACCCGCCGCTGCTCAGGACCTGAGCAAAGACCTCTCAATTCCGAAAGCAGTCACTAATTTTGGGTGCTCGGCTGGGCACAACGCAAGCCTGGTGTCAGCTGTTGGGTGTTGGGACTTTTTAGGCAGCCAAAGAGCCCCCAAAACTCAGGGCAGGTTTGCAAATGTCACCGTGAGATTGGCATTGTGGAGACATCCCCTGCCCCAAGCCCTCCACCCCAGCACGTCTCCTGCCGTGGGGCTTTCTCAGGGTCTACCCTAGCCCTTGGGCAGCAGGAAAGTTTTTGGGGTGACGATATAAGAACGAGAGGTTTCAGGAGGAGAGGAAAGCAGTTCCAGACGGGAGCGGGGTGTGCTGGTTTGCCAGCCCCCGGCACATCCCCAATCATGGCAGAGCTGCACAGCCACCCCTTCACCCTCGTATTCCCTGCTCTGCTCCTCCCTCTGCATCATTTGCTCTGACCCCGCACCTCTGTCTTGCATATGCAAAACAGGGCTCATCAAGCCTGACCTTTTATGGGTGTTTTGAAGGCAAGGTGCAATGGGGAAAAACCCCTGAGGATCTGTCAGTGCCTTTTCAGCTAATTTTTACCAAAAGGGGTGATTTGCAATGCTGGTGGTTTTTTTTTTTTCTGTGCTGCATTAAAATTGGTCCGAGACCTGTCAAACTCATCCTCCTGGGAACTCAGCACATCACACAGAGGCCACAGCTTACGGGTCTCAGCCTAAAGGCAACGTGGGCTCCCCAGAGAAGACAAAATGCCTATCACTTGCTCTGCTGAGCTGTGATCCACTCCGTTCAGCAAGGCTTTTCTAGGCTAAAATTAGACTAAAATCACAGTCCTCGCTCCAGCAACACCAGTCCTTTAGTGGCTACGTTAGTGAAACACTGGGCACTGGTTTTGCTGCCTCGGCAGGACAGCAGCTCTGGCTGGGAGTCGTAGCCTTGCTGCTAACAGCTCGGCCATTGCCTGGCGATTGCCTTCCACGGGGGGGGTTTGGAGCAGAAGCCATCACATCACCTTCTGCTCATGTTTCCAGCAGCCCTCTCCCATCCTAGCCCAATATCTTTGTATGAGAAAGAGGACTAGAGCTACCGAGGCGTACGCTAGCCTCACCTCAGTGCCCCTGATTACCTGCCAGCTTCCTAAAACCAAGCGGTATTCCAGACCTGCATCTCCTGTCTGCCAGTCCACTCCGGTGTGCCTAAATCTCTTGGATCCCTCAATAAATCCCTAGACCAAAGAGGCTGCATGGACCCCACGGAGGAAGCTGTGAGCTTGCCGCTGTCACGCACCAGCTCCTGCAGAGCTGTGCAGCTGCTGGGTTTGGGGTGATGAAACCAGCCACGCTCCTGTTGACATTTCCTTTCCAGGTGTTGCAAGAGGTCTGTCTTAGACACCTCCCCAGGGAACATCGGCCCACAGACTTCAAGCTCAGGATTAAATAGACGGAGGAGGGGAAGGAACCATGTTCCAGGCCACGGGACCCGCCAGCCCACCCCCAACTCATGTACGTAGCATCCCCTGCGGTTTGTATGAGAATTTCAACCCGGGTTTTGGTTCTCAGGGATGGAGGGTTGTGTACAGAAGCTGTATTTTGGACTTGACATATTAGGGTGATCAAAGGCACAGTCGCTGCTACTCAAACAACAAAACTGGGGACAGGAATGTTCCAGCAGAAGGTGCTGTTTGCTGAGCACATTGCAACGCCAGCGTCCAGGCTTTGGTCCGTACAGAGCTGCTCACCCTGCTCCCGTCTCGAGTTGCCGACTGTTTGTTTGTGTTTCCATGGCTTTCTGCGATCACAATTGAGAGCATGCGAGCTGCTTAGGATTGGAGTGATTGGAGATGGAAAAACATAAAGGCTCAAGAACATCTCCTGCTGGGACAGGATATGGCCCTTCCCCGAGGGAGGATATATCAGATATGAAATAGATAGCGTGCCTGATCGGAGCCAGAAGGCTGCCGAGAAGTGACGAGCAACGGTGGATTGCCTGTAGCCTTGGGAATGGATGTATTCCAGCTCCAAAGAGGCAGCGTTTTCCTTAGCTCTGGTCAGCTGAGCCTGGAAACAGTATATTAAATCCTAACCCCAGGAGAGCACCTGCGGTTTTTTTACCAGTGCCGAGGGATGCAACTGGTTTTACATGGCCTGAGTCTCATCGCTGCCCATGTCCCCGTGTTGACTTTGGCTTACCCTTCCAGCCTTGTGGGAGTGAGAGGAAAATCACGTCGCTGACCTCAGTCAATGAGAGCAGCTGGGAAACGTCTGAAGAGGCAGCTCAGTGAAGTGAGAGTTTCCTGTGCGTCTCTTAGACAAACTGTTTCCAAAAATACGAAGGAGAAACGATGGGGAAGGACAAAGCAGGAGGAACGGGGATGAAAGACCAGCCTGGGGTCAAAGAGAAGGGGTAGTGCTGGCCAAGCAGAGCCAAACCAGCAGCACAAGGAAGGACAAGGAGGCAGGAGGGTGATGTTCTGGGGTCACGCTGCCCCAACCTTGGGAACAAACAGTGCAGAGGGTGAGCCAGTCTGTTGTAAAGCGGTCCTGGCTGGTCCACCTTGCTAAAAGTGCATTTACCCCTTTGATCCCGACTGTTTGAAAGAAGAAGGGAGCATTTTCATCAGTGCGAAGCAGGCTAAAAATACTTGCAGGTGGCTGACTGGGACCCAGTGGGTGCCTGCACAGTCAGCTTGGGGAGGGTGCAGGACTGTGGGGCTGTACAGTGGGGCAAGCGAGGGAGAGGAGCGGGAGGTGATTTGGGAGGAGATGAGCTGTTGCAGCTGCAGATGGGAGAGCGTGCACCGAGACCCTGCTCTGAAATCCTGGGGGCAGAGGCACCTCGGTGTTTGGATCTCTCTGCCCTGTTGCTCCTCCCGCAGCTGCAGGGTTCGAGTAACATCTGCCCCCACCAAGCTGCAGAACGCCACGGAGCATGTCTTCAACTCTGGCCGTGCCCTGCTGCCCCTCCTGCCCTCCACACACACAGAGCCTGCAGGGACTCGAGAAGGCTCTTCGATCTCGCTTACGGCGCAGGCGTTTCCTGTGCAGCCCAGCAGCGTGACGGGCGGATAACGGGGCTAGCAGAGGAACTCGGAAACAAAACATCCGCTGAGGGGGAACCAGCACAACCTGCTCTGTGAGAGCAAGGGGCACCCCAGTTATGCCCTGGAGGAACTGGCAGCCTACCACCCTCTGACTGCAGGCAAAGACCCACGCTAGCAGCATTGCTAGAGCCCTGTGCACCTCCAGCAAGAGAAGGGTTAATTATCACTCTCGAGCCCCGTGGGGTTGTTGGCCAGAAGGAGCATGAGCAGCATTTCGCATCAAAGCAGAGCTGCTGTTAGTAGATGCATAAGCCAGCAGGTGACGATTTGCCGGTGCAGGTCACAGAGGGGGTTTCGCCAGGGGCTTGTGCTGCAGCAGCTCAGCAAGCCCTTTCCCCCTCTCTGCCTGCCACAGGCCCAAACTGTCGCCCAGGGATGTGGAAGCAGGGCTCCTCCGCCATGCTGTTGTTATTCCCGAGGAGTAATGCCGGTGCTGTGGGTCCCGAGACATGCACGGCGGTTGCACTGGGTAGCCAAGGACAGTAATCGATGCCTGCAGATGGTGAGAGCTGCTCATCAGAGGGAGAGTTGTGTTACCCTGGGGTTGTGCTCTGCAATGCCTACGCTGTGACATCTCCTGAATCTGTGCTTGGGTGCTACCAACACAAAAGAGGTCTGCTATACCTGGGCCATGGAAGAAACAAAGCCATGCCGCGCTGCTGTGTCTGGGACAAGAGGCCTCAGTGAGCAGTGCCGAATGAGAGCTGGCTGCTCTGGCCCCACGGCCCCGGGCAAGTATCACAGCCTCCTGGTGCCCAGTTCCTCCTCTGCAATATGAACACATTTTTTCCTTTTTTTTCTATTTTCCTCTCTTCCTTCTCCTCTCTTTGGGAAAAGCGCCACAGCGCAGGAAGTTCCTCGCACACGAGGACCTGACGGAGGTCGTGGCCTCTGGGCAAGTGAGTTCAGAGAAGGTCACTGCATGCCCGTGACAGCCAGGCAGAGGCTGCTGGCGTACCCCGAGGTCCCGCACCTCAGCTGCCTGCACCGATCCTCTGCTGCTCCTCCTTAAAGCACAATTCAGCGCCGGGCTTGCCAGTCCAGGCTCTCATTTTGATTTCTCTTCTCCTTCCCTTCTTAGGAGGCAAAGAACAACTCAGGAGGCAGCACGGTGCAGCGCTCCAAGGTACCTGCAATTTTACCACATCCTACTGATTCACGGTGAGGGGGGAAGGACCGAAAGCACCAATCCAGCCCAGCATCAGTGGAGTGGTACAGGGAGGGCGAGGGGAGATGGGGCTGCTTCACACTAACCAATGCTCCAGCAAACGGCAGCATGGATATTAGGGAAGAGGGCTGTGGTGGGAGCCACAGGATCTCTCAAACCCCTTCCTCATCCTCTCTCCCTTTGGTCTCCCCTTGCCCAGTCCTTCAGCCTGAAGGCGCAAGTGAAGGAGATGTGCACTGCCTGCCAGAAAACCGTCTATCCCATGGAGCGGCTGGTGGCGGATAAATTTGTCTTCCACAACGCCTGCTTCTGCTGCAAGCACTGCCACACCAAGCTCAGGTGAGCCGGGCTGGGAGGCTGCCGCGGTGCTTGCTGATGGCGAGGTGGACGGGTGTTACCGCAGCTCTGCCTAGCCTGGGCGGGGGAGGCCCTTCCAAATAGCGCACCCACCCATCACAGCCCCTCCTCTTTGTCAGGTAAAGACCCACAGCCCACTCATCGCAGCAAAAAAAGGGCTTATCTGCCCACCCGGTCCCAAGTCTCAGCTAAATCCCACCTGGTATGGAAGAAGAGTTTTTAGCCCTCGAGAGCAGCCCCAAGGTAACATGGAGCTGAGCCAGAGCTTCCCCCTAGATGACACAGAGCCAAGGCTGAGCTGCGCTGCCGGACCCCCCCTCTTTACAGATCTTTAATGCTGCTCACAGCAGCCCCTAACATCCTGAGCTGGCTGGAGGGAGCAGTTGGCCCTTTCTAAGGGTCCCCTCCTGCATGTTCCCTCCTCCTTCCTCCCCTGTCCTGGTGCCCCCAAGCCTCACACGCTCCCCGCCAGCCTGCAGCTGAGTCCCGGTGCCCAGCTAACCCTGCCCTCCTTCCCCAGCCTCGGCAGCTATGCGGCGCTCCACGGGGAATTCTACTGCAAGCCCCACTTCCAGCAGCTCTTCAAGAGTAAAGGCAACTACGACGAGGGCTTCGGGCGCAAGCAGCACAAGGAGCTGTGGGTGCACAAGGAAGTGGAGAGCGGGACCAAGTCGGCGTGAGCGGGGCTAGCCTACCCTTCCCTGGAGCCCAGCAGAGACGGCACGGAGCAGTGCTGAGCCGGGGGCTAACTGAGCTGATGTAAAGCAAAGGGGACCCGAGAGCCTGTGGGCGGTAAGGGAAGGGAGGCAGCCCAGCCCTCTTTGGAGGATGCTTAAAGGGGTCCTACAGGCCATAAGGACAGGGCAGAGGTGACCAGGGTAGAGCCCCCAGACCTGAAACTCTCTCTGCAGGCCCCTCTTCCTGATGAAATCAGACCAGAAGCACTTGCCCCCATGGGAACCCTAGCCCTGTTCATACATTTCAGGCCTGTCACTGGAAAGGGAGATGATCTGGGGGCTTTACCCAGCCTATAAATCACAGCAGAGCTCCCAGCTCCTGCCACACCAATCCTGCCTTGCTGGGGCTCCGAATAAGGAGGGTCCTTGGTTTACATCAGCTCAGTTCAGCTGGGATTGTTCAGCCTTAAGGATGTTGCCCTGTGACTGTTTAACAGTGTCTGTCTTTTTTATATTTGCCTTTGATTGGTACGTTCTGCGCTGGAGCCTGGCACGGCAGCTTCACGCGTGACACTGCGCCATGCGCTCTTTTATTTTTGTAATACAAGGTTTCCGAGCCTTCCCTGTCTTGTCCTGTGTTCCCAGGGGCCCGGGGAGGTGGGAGCAGCAGTCAGGTCTGCCTCTTACTGCCCAGTTACTGTGGAAAGAGCCTCTGCCCATGCAGGATCAAGAAAGTATTCCTGGATACGTGTGTGTAACGTTATGACTAAGGCAGACTGGTCCTTTGGGGATGGAACCCCGGATTTCAAATTGCACGCCAGCATTACTACCCTGTGAGCTACACACCCCAGCTGTAACCGCATGCCAGCTTCCACATGGAGCCCAGACCACCCTCAAAGGGAATTCACCATCCTGTGAATCAGATCCACCCCTTTGCCTTGCATACATTTTGTGGCTTACTGGCTTCCCCCTCTGTATCAATAAACATTGCCCTGCCTCCGCAAGCAGATGCTGGCTCAATTCACTCTGCAGCCGGCGCAATGGGCAGGACGGGCATCAGAGCTGGGCTGACTGGTGCAACACAAGGTCTGGTTTGGATCAACCCCATCTGCTGAGCTGTGATGTTTGGACAGCACAGTCCGTACAAATTAATGAGCCCAACAAGACCTGCCAGGCTGGAGAGCCTAACGCAGTGAAACCAGGGAAAGCAGGTGAGTCTGTTTTTAATTATTATTTACCTCCTTCCTCCACACATGATTTGTAAGACTGGCTTGAAAGAGTAAGCGTTCAGGAACCTCACGTCTTTCAAATGCTACAGGAGTTAGGCTTTTCAGAGCCCGCACAGCACAGAAACTACCAGCAACAGCCTTTGAGATCAACAGCAAGAGCCCCTCTTCCATCACTGACTGATAACATCAGCTCCCGCTGAGCACGCACGTCCTGTCTGCCACTGAACACCGCTGCGAGAACCCAGACACAGCCGTGAAAACAGGAGCTAAGGACTGAAGAGGGAAAAAGATGGGTATGGGTAGTCCATAGGAGTCCCAGGAGGAACAGAATAGCATGTACAGAGATGTGGTCTTAACCCAGGTCACTGTGGTACTCCTCCCTCAGTGCAAGTCCTTCTGGGGCTCTGGGTGTGCACCAACAGCCAGGCAGCATCTCCGCAGCTCTCCTTCGCTGGCAAAGCTGGCTGCAGTCACACCTGATCTTGGGGAAGATACGTGCTGGATGACCCCGGGAGCCTGATGTTGGACAAGTTATTTCTCCTTTTTCCTTCAGGGCTTTTTAAAGGGCAGGTCTGTCAGCTCTTCGGGGTGGGGACCGCCTGGGGATTTACGCTGCCAGCACAGCAGGGACTGCATACAAACAGAGACCCTGGCAAGGCTCCAAGTGAGTTTCAGCCTCACCAAGTGCTTTAGCTGTCCCCGTCACGCAGGTGCTGCCAACTCCTCCTCACACCAACATGCAGGCGGCAGGTTTACACCACGGCAAAAGCCGCTTCCTGAGCGGCCCCTGCAGCATTCATTGTCACAAAACAGAAACCAAGCGGTTGCTGCTCTGCGGCGAGGGTCTTGTGATGCTGTTCGCGTTGTGGCCCCTTCCTTCCCAAGGCTGGCTCAGAAAATGAAAGCAGGCTCCTCGGTTTCGCTTCCCGTTTCTTGCTGGCCTCACTTCCCCATTCCCTCACCTCAGCAGGCTGCTGCTCTTTTCTGCACAGCAGGGCAGCTCAGATACAAAGCATTTTTAACTATACCAGATGATTTTGGGGTAGGGGAGGGAGAAAAAAACCCCAGCTTTTAAATGTTGGGCTTTCAGTTAAAAAGAGAACATTAAGCAAGAAGAACAATGATGTTCCATTTCTCTCCTTCCCTCCCAAAAATTGAAATTTGGGATTCTGTCTAAAGACAGTAGCACTCACCATTTTCTACCTACCCCCTTCTCATATGGGCACAGAAAACTCTCGTTGACGTAGCAGAAATGGAGAGAGCATGTGCAAGCACAAGAGGTGCGAGATCTCCAGCCTGCTATATGATCGTTTTCTGCACAGTCCCTTTTTCTGATTTTGAGAGCAGGAACCAACGACCAGGCTATACATTACTGAAAGAGGCTGCAGCAACCTGACCCAGGCACCACAGTTCAGGGGAGGGGAAGCGAATCTGATGAGCATCAGATTCACACGGGGGAGAGAGGCTTGCGATGCAGCTATGTTGCACAGAATGGCTGCTGCACACAAAGCAGCCAACAGCGAACTCCTGCTTCCCCGATTAACATGCCAGGCTCCGCACACAGGGAAACCCTAGCGGTAACACACGTGGGAGGATGTGTTAAACGCTTTGAGCTTAGCTTAATCTGCCTGATACATTTCAAAGGTGGTGCACTGCACAAAGGACAGCGCACGCTTTCCCAGGGCGTACCGGAGGAAGCAGCACTACAGAAACCCCAGCTTAAAATGTCTCTGACTGGGAGGTTTCTGTCAAACAGATGAAAAAAAAAACCCGCCCAAAACATTCTCTCCTTGTCCCTAATGTTTAACTAAAATCCAGCTGATTTTATGATGAGAGCTAGTCTCACTCCACTGGGACTGGAAACCTCCTTTCTGAATCACCCGCACCCTTAGCATACCTTTTGGGCAACAATCCTGTTTCTGAGCAGACACTGTGACTTCTTACTGCAACACCCTCGCTTCAAATCTCCATCTTTAAGCACAAGGGCCATGTTTTCTCTTTCCAGCTGCCAGCAGCCTCCCTTGACCGGCAGTCTAAACTGGCAATCTCTATGTGTGGAGTTAGCGGGATTCAGGATGTTCAGACCCCACAGTTGGGGTAAGATTTAACAGTGTAAATACTCATGAAGAAGAGGAGGACCACAGGTTCTCAGCATATATAGCTGCCCATCATTATTACAGCTTTTTATTCGACATTTCTGAGTGGCCAGAAGCCAGCCATCAACTTTCAGTGGCGGGGGGGAAGCATTCTGCGCTCCCCCTGGTGAGGCTGAGCAGCACTGCACAGCGGCACCGCACAGCGGCACCCCACGCCAGCCTGGGACAAAGATGGTTCAGAGCGATATGGAGACAGAAGCTGTCCAGACAGCTGGGTTCAGAAAGAAGCCTGCAGCGTTTGGCAAGCGAAGCAAGAGCTAGGGAGATAGATACTGCCTGCAACCTCCTGAAGGATGCTGCACAGAGCTTGCACCCAGTTGTGCTGAGATGAGCTACTTAAAGTTCCTTTCAATGACCTGGTCCCTGTTGGGGCTTCTTTCTGCTGCTCCAGCACAGAGGAGGCTCCAACTTTTGCTGGAGCCAAAGCAGAGCATGCTACAGCTCTCTTGGGCTCCAAGGCAACGCGGTGAGAGCTCAAGAACAGCTACTTTAACGCCAGCGCAAGGGCTGTTCCAGGGTGTATCGATGACTGCTGCAACACTTAAACTGGCCCTTAATCTGAAGCACAGAAAATGGCACACCGCCACCTGCGCTGCCTCTCCTCCAAAGCGCAGATCTGGTCTTGCCACCAAAGAAACAATACAACTGACGAGCAACAAATAACCTTTATTTGTATTACACACACCACAACTTTCTTTTGCATTTCCACGCGAGCACGAGGCTTCCGTTACCAACCTGCCTTTTAGCTCAAGAAAGGACATTTTACAGACCCTAAAAGTTCAAGCCAACAGATTCACGTAATAAAAACTGTTTTGGGAAAAAAATCAGTACGAATCCATATATATCCATACCATCCAGATGTCCAGTTTTGAACAAGACACAGAGCACTAGGCAGAGATCAACACCAGAAGAACAAGTGACATGACAGCTAACCGTGCCAGCATTTCCTGGATATAATGCAATACACCCACACCCTCGCAATATTAAATCCAGAAGACATTGTTCCTAGTTTAGACTTCACTACCCTAATAGAAAGAGCCACAGTAGTGTAGTATAACCAACCTCTTTAGAGATTTTAAATTGCATTTGCTTCAGAACTGGATTTAAAGAGGAAACATACCTTAAGTCACCTTCCCCTGGGCCACACTATGCACATAACACAAATTACCAGAAATAAAAAAGGTAGTAGAGGTTTTTAGCCACATTTCTTCTGTGCGTTGGTCAGTATTTCATAGCTGATCATTTCCACCTTCAACCCAAGGCTCCAGACATTTCCCTCTCCCAGCCCCTGCTCAGCCACCACCTACAAACTGGCATGGTGAAGATTCAAGTCAGGACCACACACTCCGTATTTATGGAAACCAGAATTACTATAGAGCTACTTACTTTTGAGAGGGGTGAGTGGGAGGGGAGTCCAGGAGAAAACATGCCATCATACAAACCTAAGATGTGAATCTCATGTTCATAAAGCAAATGTTACCACTGAACATACCGAGTGGAAAGGAGAACGAAGGCATCGGCTTTGGGAAAGCTCCTTAAGTAAAGGTAACTGAGAGTTTCTAAGTTCCCCCTTCAGCAAAGGCAGGATTTTCAGGTTCTAACACACACGAGGAGGGTGTCAGGAAGCAGCGGGAGGTGGTTATTTCTGGTTCCACAAGACATTTTTGTTCTGGGACAACTTCACTTGTCTGGTTCTCATCTGTTCTGGAACAGCACACAAGCGCCACGCATGTACTTGTTTCATGTGCAGGGGTTTCTATTGCATCAGCTTGTTAACCCATTTATTCTTATTTGTTCGTATTTTACATTAACAAATATTTCAGTATTTAATTGGCATAGCAACTAGCTATACCATGGCCTGGGAAAAGGCGATTAAAGGGAAGGTTGTGGTTAGGGCCCAGGGAGGCCAGCATCTCAAGGGACCATGGTGGCATTCAAACCACTGCTTAAGTGACTGTGACACCGAAGACTAGGAGCTGCATAAATAGAACAGTACAAGGAAAAAATGAACATTTCAGCAAGTAGTGCAGATGAATTTTATAGGAGCACTATTTCTGTCCTTTCCTAAGATAGTATGCTGGAAAAAAAATAAAGCCTGAAAATATTTGGAAATGTGGTTACCCATTCTCTTGCCCTACTCTGGGACAGCAAAGCTTATCCTGTCCCAAATCCCCAGTACGCTCAATGCAAGGCTATCCACTTCTGCTGGGAGGCTTCGCTTCTGGAAGGGAGCTCATGATATCTCCCATTTGTCTGAAGTCCAGGGTCCTTACTTCTCCAAATTTTTGCTATATAAAATGACTAGACAACACATTCAAAGGAGAAACAATTCAGGAACCTTTGGCTGTTTCCAGGTATTTAGAATAAATACCTTTTCAAGCAGCCTGAGCTTCACAAGCTAGAGCTGGACTTCCCCACTTAGCAAGCTACTCTGGGGTATTCCCCAGAGAGTTCCCAGCTGAAGCAAAGCACAGCAGGGACTCAGACCTCATCACACTAACCATCTCCTCCTGGTCTTGAGAACTGCCTTCTCCCCACCTGATGACAATCTACCCTGTTAAGCACCGATGAATCAAGACCAAGACCTGGAGTAAAAAACTCACCACCACAGCAAAATCCAAATGCAAGCCTCAGCTCCAGCTCCCAGAGAGTTCCCAGCTGAAGCAAAGCACAGCAGGGACTCAGACCTCATCACACTAACCATCTCCTCCTGGTCTTGAGAACTGCCTTCTCCCCACCTGATGACAATCTACCCTGTTAAGCACCGATGAATCAAGACCAAGACCTGGAGTAAAAAACTCACCACCACAGCAAAATCCAAATGCAAGCCTCAGCTCCAGCTCTCCATCAGTAGATCTCCACATGAAGAGCCAATAAACCAGCCCAGCTACTCTCCCTGCAAGGTGAAATGAAGATGTTGCTATTTTTTTTTTATTTATTTATTTTTACACACTAACAAAAGGGACGGAGCCATTCTACCTCTCTCTTTGAAGAGTGAGAATGGATGAACGTCACCTTCCTCAGAGGCAGGCTTGTGGAGGACACACGCTTACCTGATCCAAGAAGCAACGCTTCACAAACAGGACACTGCTCCATCCGGCCCCAAGAATAAATTCCTGAAAGGAAAAATTTCCTCCTTCAGTTAAGGCCCTTGGTTAGAAGGAAAACTAGTTAATTGTCTTATTCACTTATCTCGAGGCACCATTTACACAGGAAGTAAGAGACACTGCACTGCAAACAACCACCAAAAAGGCTTTCATATAAATGATAATTTTATTGTAAATAAAACGATACATTGGCCTGGCTTTGCACTGCAAGCCCCCGGTCGGTATATATAGACTACTGGTTCAAGGTCTTCTGCACAATCCAGGTTAAAGCAATTTCTCCCTGCTCTGCACAGTTTATGTCAGACAGGTATTGACAGACAATAAAGTCCTTTTCTTCATTTCTGAACTGCACCCTAGGCACATCTACCTTTTCTAACTGGGAAATTCAGAGCTGCTCAGTGAGATCTGCTCCTCAACAAGGCTGGGGTTTAAAGACCTGAAGCCCAAATGCCATTAAACCACAGAGGATGCCTATTTTTTTCTGAAAATTAAGAGAGACTGAATGCTCCCAGCTCCAAGGGCAGGTACCGAGGTGACAGCCACAGGACTGCACGTATTCAAATATATAAAACCTTTCCATCCAGCAGCTATTAACCTAAGCACCAATCACTAGGATCTCATTCAGCCCCCCTGTACAGCTCTAAGCATCTGGCCTTTGCCTACCAGAGAAAGCGTGTACAGCAGGGATATATATTTACTGAGGTTTCACAAGTTATCCTGGCTCTCTGGGCACTTGGAAATCACGTGTCACCTGAGCAGGTACCAATTTCCCTCTCGGTCAATTTGTTTTGGTAATTAATGGCAAAGGGAACTGTTTGGAGCATGTTCAAAAGTCCTTTGGAATACTACTCCAAAAATACGAAAAAAAATCCAAATTGCTGCAACCTACTGCCACTAGAATAGGCAAAGATCAAATTTACTGGAGAACAAAGCAAATAACCTGGAACGCACAGAATCGTCACACCAAGACCAAAATGCCAACAGTTCGTTTCCTAACAAGCTCAGGGACAGCCAAATCCCCGTTCCCCCCAGTTTGTCTCTGATGGGAATCTCAGCCGTTTTCCTGCTCAGTTTTCAACTGTTTCAGGATAATGAGACTCCTATAAGATATTTTTCTCCAAACAGAATATTCTCCATTTCTGCAGCACCTTCCATCGAGGATCCCAATACTCAATATTCACTATATATCCTTCCCTGGAAGGAACAGCAGAAAACACAAAGTGACATTTGGAATGGACACAATAGCTTATTGTTAGCCTGGCACTCCTCCTCCACTCTCCCCTAAATGAGTTTATTCCCATTTTATTCCAATTCTGCCAGGATAAAGAGGCCAAATGTAATTCAATTTAGAGGCATAATTACATTTATGTCCACTTAAGATGTTTTTGCTGCCAGGGCCGTGCTAAGAGACTGTAGTATAAGTGTCGGTCCCAAGCTTATTCACTGTAGCAGTGGACTTAGGAATCCAGATCTTCCTTTTCTATAATCAAGAGGGCTGTGAGGAAACAAAGAATGCATTTTGGCTTGGCTCTACTCGTTATAAACCATCAGCAAATTCTCTGCAAAACCAGCTGCTTTTTTTCCTTTTTAAATTCATAAAGGCGTCAAATTTATTTCCCATCCTCCCCCCTACCCCGTAACAGTCGAGTCGATATATATAAAAATCACCAAATATGATCTTTTACGATATAAATAAAAAAAAAGTATGAGGCATCACCGTTTACATGATGTAAAAAGAGCTAAAAAAGAGCGATATAAACTACATTCATAAAAGTGCATCTCCAAACATACAAGTAATGCTTTGGCTTGTTCCTGTGCCGAACGGGTGGCATTGGGTCAGGTACTGGAATACGAGAAGTCCAAGCTGGCACCCCATGTTCTCTGTCACTGTACAATTGCTATTTACTGTCATTAATACAGACTGGAATACAAGTGTATACACAGAGTAGGCACATTTCAGCATAGGTGGTGGGAAGGACCAGAAGCTCTGGCGGGGAGAGGACTGAGCCCATCAGTCCATGATGCTCTTTGCTCTGCTCTGGAACAGCCTTCCATGACGCATATGAGGTAAAAGCCACAACAGATCCTGAGGATTTAGTTGCTTTGAAACATTAAAAGTTACACCATTTCCTCATGCCCTATTCTCCCAAAACACAATGTGTGGGATAGCAAGGAAAGACGACAGAAGGTGGTCTCAATTTGGTGAGGACAAGCCAAGGGTAGAGAGAAACCTACGCAGACAGGATCACCGCACTCGACTGCTGCTGTACGTCTGCAGGGTAAAGTGTGATGAATAAAAGATTCCAATCTTTGGTATATTTATGTGCTAGTTGCAAGGCTTGAAGAGTGCTACTGGGCCCCACAGGAGTGCTGACCACCCTACTTCTGTCATCAAGACTACAGGAATGATTTCACATTCCCCTGCAGCATACGCAGCCATTTACACCACAGCGAAGTGGTGTAAAACGCTCCCTAAAACAGAGTAGTAGTGTCATGCCCTCGCTTCCCTTCGGTGCAAGCGACAGTGAAGTGCAGGCCAAAAGTCAGGCCACGTGTCTTGCCAATTTGGAGTCAAGTTCCAGGTTTGGAAAAGATCAATAGAAGTGCTCTCACTAGAATTAAATAAATTATGGAACTTAATGAAAGGGCTTTCATAAAAGAGATCCCCCTAAGTGCCTGCAACCTAAACAGTGCATCCTCGTAGTAGTGCAGGAGAGCCTGAAAGCGAAACCAACACTAGCTTGCTTTCACCAATTACACATTGCTCCGAGTTTGGCACAGAAAAAACACTTCAGATTGTTAAACCCTTCCAGGGCTTTTGGTTGTTTGGGTTTTTTTAGGGTTCTTTTTTTCCTCTTTAATTAAACACATTATTTATCATGTGTTCAAGGAGCTTGGTTTCATTAAAACTTGCCTTTTCCTGCTATGAGCATTCACTTAAAACTATTACTTTTACTGCATTACGAAAGCAATTTTCAAGTTTTCTTTGGGGGGGAAGAGTGGAGGCATGTGGACCCTTAATATGGTTTCTAATACAAGAGCAGAACACCTTTAGCGTTGCTCTATAAAGCAGTATTTTAGCTAATAATACATTTGCTTTTCTTAGTTTCATTTCACACAGATAACTTATAATTACTCCATGAATCCCCAGCACTTAAAAACTGCTGGCCTTTTACGAGTGAAATAAGGACTGTTAGTGCCCAAATCAACATACAGTATTTGAGGCCAGTAAGCCATCAGGAACTCACTTCTCAGAGATGCGGTACCTTTCAAACGCAAAAATCACTTGGATACATTTTGCTGGTACCTGTATGGGGATCTCCAGTTAATTTCAGAAATATGCTAGCATTACAAATGTTCTCTCTGGTTCACTGTTTGATTTAACTCGTACAAAAGCTTATTCAAATAGGACCCTAATATTTTATGGAAACCTTAAATGAACACTTGCACACCTGTAAAACAAACCACACACACTGAAGGGTTGAGCTTGATTCTAACTTACTGCGCACAAGTAAAACTAGTGTCCGGCAAATTCTCCCCGTGAAAAACTCCATTTTCCATTAGGCCAGGTGCTCAAAGAAACACATAAACTTTTCCTGAAGTAAATTCCTGGGCACCAGATGAACTGTCTTTGGTTTAAGGCGATGGTAAGAAGTTACCAGCCAAAAAGATAGGTGCAACAGAAAGCTGTTCCGCAGAACTCCCTTCCAGGAGGGTTTTGTTTAGACCCAGCAGTCTCAGGGAGATGAAGCAGGAGTGCAGATTTGTTGGCTATGAGGACACAAACTAACCGACACTGTCTTAATGCTAGGACAGATCAAGCCTTAGAAATCAAGTTCTGGATTTTCTAACATCAGTGGGAGAGCCCTTCTCTTAGGCCCTGGAGTGATTGCATTCTGCTGAAACTTTTCTGATTATCCTGACATTTAGCTAGAAAGACCTCCCTCACCCCCACCCCAAAATCCATGGTTTCGTTATAAAATAACACTATTCACATACTTTTGAATCAATATTTTCTGAACACCTTCAGATGCTGAATACTTAAGAAGAAAAATATATAATTATATAGCGAGCGCATGCTCAATGACACATGGCTTTTTGCTGGATTCATGTACTGTAGATGCCTCTAAAGCCCTAGCAGTCTGGAAAACAGTGACCCACACGTAGAGAGTTGGTCTGGATGGCTGTTGCACCTTTCTGTTCTGAAGAGTGTAGCTCTTCCAGTTCCCACTTTAGTTCAGATTTCTTCTATGTTCAACCAGTGAGACACTTATATTCCCATTCTTGGGCCTGCAGAAAACATGCAGCCAGCTGCAATTTCACATCAAGGTAACTAGGGCAAAAATGCAGCTCTGTTTGGACAGCTGTCGGTAGAATAAACATTAGTCCAGCAAACAAAGGTATCAGGCACAAGAGCAGACCCTAGGTTCCTTGGCATAATTTCCCCAAAGGACTAGGACAGCCGAGTTGGCATTTTGAAGATGCAGCACCACAACGGGCAGTTGCAACTAGACCAGACGGGGCACCGAAAGCCCAGCAGGAGCTGCTAGCAAGGGAGGTAATTCAGTACTGGAGCTGTGCAAACTGATGTCTGAGCAGCTCTTCAGCAGAGGGTCTGTGCCTGGCTTCCACAAAGATCTGCTTTAGGAAGTCCCGGCAATGTTCTGATATGTGAGAGGGGAGCTGGGGGTTGGTTGGTTGGGTGGCGATTTTGAAAATGGCTGCCATGGCTTCGTACTCTGCCCAGGGTGGTTTCTCTGTCAGCATTTCCACAACAGTACAGCCGAGGCTCCTGGAAAAGCAGACAGGAAAAAGAAAAAAGTGAGAATTGACTCACGCAATAATGCACAGTGTTCAGAGAGAACTTCCAAGCAGCCAACATCAAGGTACAGCTCTGCTCTGAAAACAGCTATAAAATGGCTTTGTGCTCAGCAAACCCCATGTGTGCACAGATTCTGAGCCAGACCTGCCAACGTCGCTGCTTTTACTACTGTCAGGCTAGCAGTAAAGTGCTGAGACAGGGAGGCTGGTTTCCACTGTGGTTCTCACTGCACCAAGAACTGTGAAGTGCCATCTGTCCAGCTCTCCTTTGCTCAAATTTTACTCTCAGTAAACACTTGCATTAACAGCAGGGGACAAGAGGTGCACACGAGAGGTCCCTGAAGGCGCCGTTGGACCTCAGTGGTATTTTGGGTGCTGCTGCTACTGTTATGTCTCAAAGGCACTTGCTGAGTTGCAAGGTAGAAAACAGACTTTTTAACCAAGGTCCGGTGAATCAGAGCTGGTTGACTCCACAAAGCCATTTCAGCAAAATCCCTTTTCAGTGCACAGCCTCAGAATGCCCACGTGAGAAAAAAACCCCCTAGTATCTCCACAAGAAACCAAGCATCATAGACAGTCAAAAAATAATTAAAGTCTAACAGCTCCAAACTGAGAAGGCAGTAAGTTAAACCGCCGGTAGGGCAGATGCATCATTACATTAAGGCAAAACTCCTAGTAAAGTTAATGGGGCTCTGCAGGCTAATTCGAGGCAAGAACGTGATTACGGGGACGGACATGGCTGAGCCACCTTTCTGAAGCAAGCGTGACACCAATACTTTCACAGGGAAGATGGGTTTCTGTAGTACCGCAGTGATTGGTTTTCATTCAAAAAGGATTAATTGCTTCCTCCAGGCCACAGATTAAGCAAAAGCAGTTAGTGAACTTCTAATATCCAGTCCTGTGTTTTGATCACATCGTTCCATTTTGCCAAAAGGCAAAACTGCCTCTTCTACCTTTAAACTAAACCCTCTTTTAAAGTGAAAAGCAAAGACAAGACATTTTCAGAGGCAGACTTGCATCAATTGCCAAGACAAGGAAGGAAAGGAATTAAATCCAGTGAATATGCAAGAAATGACTTCTTGACAAGGTTTAAAATCCAACGTGAAAATTTTACACTGGTTTCCAGCCATTTAAGACTTACTAGAAGAGAGTACAGAAAATGCAAACCATGTGTGCTGAAGTGCTGGGGGTTTGCTCAAGAGCAAGCAGGGATATATTATTGTTTAGACTGATTTATACCGTTTAAGCAGATCCGGTTTCTTTAAGATATTCAGCAAACAGCAGGAATGTTTTTCATGTCAAGTCACTCCAGCAATAACAAATAGCTCACATATTCTGCTATTTAGGAAAAAGAAAATTGGAGAGGGGCCTGCAGCAGTGGCGGAAAGCCAGGTGGCTAGATTTGTTACGTTTTTGAGCCTCTCAGCCATACGCATCCACCCTGGGACTAACGCTGCACTGGAAAATTCTGACCCCCCTGAATAATGATCGGGATTGTAGGAACTGGAGCCCAGCCAACGGCAGCGTCTCTTTGATGGGAATGGACCCATGTCAGCACCAAGAGGAAATCCACAATTGCATCAACCCAGGGGGAAGGGCACGTGCTCCATTCTCTCCCCAAGCATCCCAACTGGGAGAGTCTGCAGAACTTAACTCTTTGCATACGAGACAAATTTCAGCTATGTTTCCACTCACTGCTTGTACAGGAAACAGCACAGGCCTTGCTTTACTGTGGAGACACAAACACACCTTTTGTCGCTGTCATTTAGTTTAGTTTTATAATCTCACCTTTTTAAGGCCTCCAAAACTAACATTTTGACACAGGACCATTTTGCTTTTTCCTTTCGATAGAGGCTGTTTCTTGGCTATGCCAATAGCAGCATGGCTACAGTTTCCATTCATGCATACTTCAGATCACCTCTGATCTGACCCGTATCTTTTGTGTTATTCCAGGTTTGGGCATCTTTCCTTTAAAGCTTTGTCAACATACTCAAACTCCATTCCTCTAATTTCCACTGTATTATAAGCATACCTCTCATTTGATAACAAAATGAATGGATGCTCCCTAAAGAACCTTCATTCTCTCTTATAAGGGATATCAGAAGGATGGAAACCTCACACCAGAAAAAGTCAGAACACAGAAAACAAGCTATCAGTTCAAGGGAGGAACGAGTGGAAGTTGTTCCTGAAAAACTAAATGAGCAGTTGTGGGTTGACATTGCAAAGCACAGCCTGCAGCAGGTCATGTCTCGAGTTCAAATCAACTACTCCAGTTCACCTTAAAGTTTTGATCCAGACAAAATCTGATTTTGGATATATGGACGACAGAATGTGTATGTCTTATCTTGCTCCAGAAAAGCTGTGAATTGATCTACGGACTGAAAGTTAAAGCCTCACCATACGTCCGCTTTTCTTCCATAGCCTTCCCCACTGATCACCTCCGGGCTCATCCAATATGGCGTGCCAGTGACAGAGCGGATGCCTGTTCCAGACATACAGATTGTCTGCAGCCGTTTGCTGGCCCCAAAGTCCCCAAGCTTCACATTCCCAGCAGAGTCACGGAGAATATTGGCTCCTGGACAAAAAAAACAAAGAATTGAGACAGCTGTTTTCATGCAATCCAGCTGTTGGATCCGCAGCCTACACAGTTGATATCCAACCCAGAAATACCCATGCTCATGGTATGGCTTTTTCCCCCATTAAGCCTCAGGTGACCTGCTAAACATCATTTCTTTATTTCAGGCTGTAGACAAGCCAATTGTTAATGGCTGCAAATGGGAAAAACTTCAGGGAAAAAAGACAAGGAAGTGAAGGGGGAAGGGAAATGAGAGCTGAGTCAGCACCATCATTGTTACATTGCCTGTAAACAGCTCAGACAGCCTATGCAGGGCCCCCAGGCCAATGGCTTAGATAGTACATAGCTGTGTCGAAAAGGATTTTATTGGGATGCAGCTTTGGTGAGTGTAACCATTGCTTTCTGGTCAGCTGGGTAACAGATGTAGCTAATTAAACCACTTTGAACTCCTACAATAAACAAGTCAATCTCCACTTTACTTGGTCAGAGGTCCTGAACATGAAGCACCAGGGAAAAAAGCAAACTTAAGAGCTTAGCTTGTATGTGGACACAAACCAAGGCTTAGACACCAAAAACAATTCTTCCTCCAAAGCCGCAGTAAGATCAAGAACCCTGTGTTGCCATTATCTGGTATCTGCCTATGTAAACTCCTTCTGCCTTCAAATAAAATGCACTTGTGCTGGGAGATAGCTTTATCACTTCACTTCCCCACTGGAAGAGCTGAATTCAGAATAACAAGTCTGTCCACCCAGCACCCGGGAGGCAAGTTAACAGTTTGGCTTAGAAGATGGGTGCAAACTAGCAAATAACGCACCAGGTAGGAAATCATTTGGGAAAGAGCATCACATGAGCAGTATACAAGGTGTTATTCAAGAATCAGCAGCTTGTTTCCCTTTGCCAGCCTAGAGGGGATGCAACGAAGATTTATAGGCAGGAACAAGAGGATATTTTTCCTGCAGCAAGCAACCCTCCTGGTCCCTCTAGAGCAGAGAAGCTTTGTGTGGTGTCTGCCACATCTGTTGACATTAACTCTTAAGGAGACTGGCTGGCTCCATGGGGTTATACTGGGAAGAGGAACATTAAGGACTAATCACAGAGGCTTTACATGGAAGATTCGAGGTTTCTTACACAGAGGAGGCAGGACAGTCACAAGAGCCCGAGGTAAGCAGGACTGTCAAGAGCAGGCACGGAGCTCTTATGGCAACTGGTATGCCTACCAGCTGAGAAATGGTACTTTGGCCAAGCAGAGAGGAAATTAGAAGGGAATCCACAGGGAAATGAGCGTGTTTTACGAGGCCAGTGAAAGTAAGGTGGCAACTCAGCCTCATTTTGCTTGGATGTGAGAGAAAGATGAGGAGTTACAGAGGAGTCTTCCTAAGAATTAGAGGCTTCCAGTCTTCCTTACTATAACCAACTGCCAGGCTCTCAGGTCCTGTAGAGAGAACAGCCCAACTTCCCTTACCCAGCCCAGAACACAACCTTCCCTAAGCCCTGCACACAGATACAAGAGCAAAAAGGGATAACCGAGCAAAGCAATGTTTAGAAGCCCCAGCCAGGATACTGAATTCGTAATACTTGGCTTCCTTTTTCAGAGTTCCTTTAGCACGTGGTATACACATAAATCAGCAGCTGATCTCACCCTTTATGTCCCTGTGCACAATCATGTTGCTGTGAAGGTACGAGACTCCCTCGAGAATCTGGCGAGTGTATTTCCGGGTTACATTTTCTGTGAGAGCACCATACGCCTTCAGCTGGTCTTTCACTGACCCCTGCACCAAAAACAAAACGGAAAGGATTGGCAAAGAAATGACAAACCACAAATCTTGCAGTCTCCATTCAATTCCCACGAGCTGTGACTGTTATACACCCAACCGGCACAGTAATGAATTCTGGCCTCTTCTAAAGCCCTTTTGTGAGGCTCTCAGAGCATCTTGCCCTACGAAGCCCCCTTTAAAAAAAGCAAGGACATGCTTTACAGCAAAAATAGCTTAAAGAGGTTCTGTCTGCTTCCTCCATCCTTGAGCTGTGCTGGTACAACTGTTTGTGAAGACAAGCGATAAAATAGTTCAGCAGACTGATCCGGATCAAAAGTCTCCCTTTTTGCAGGGTCAGTTTTAGCCTAATTTGCTGTACTATATGACCCTGCTAATTCAGTTAGCCTGATTTATAAGTTGGCCCAAGTCCTCTGAAGTACTTTGTCAGAACAAATTTAGACTGAAGAAAAGAACTGGTGTTAGTGACTAATGAAGAGAATGTATTTCAAGCACAAGACACTAAGAAAAAAAACCAGACATGGTTTGGGCATAAATAAAAAGAAAGTGGTGGCATTATAAAGCCAGTATGAGAGAGGGGCATACCTAAGAGGGCATAAGGTGGATTACGTAGTTGGGTAATCATAGCAATTAATAAACCAACTAACGAAACCACCCATCTCACTTTATGATCTGCGACTGTGCTGCTCGTGTCAGCTCTTACCCCTGGCATGTACTCCATGAAGATGGTCAAGGTCTTCTCTGCTCGATCCCGTAAGCAGCCGTAATACTGAACAATACGTTCGTGCTGGAGATTCTTCAGCAGCTGAATTTCACACTCCAGGGCACTCACTTCCTATGGATGTTGAAGGAGAAAATAAGGTTCCATCCCCAGGAAACATTCCATCCTAATAAATCTGTCCATGTCACTGGAAGGGTGAGGCTACTACTACACTGAAGAAGTCTAATCCATGGCATTGGCTCACCCACCTCTTGGGAAAGGCAAACATTACCGATGCTTCACCTTAATCCTTACTGTACAATAAGCAGGTAAATACTGGTGCAGAAGCTTTGTTTGTTAGCACACAGGCAGTATCATATATGGATTTAGTACCAGAAAAACTGTTTCTTGTCTTGATTCTGTCAGCTGAATGGCTTTAGCCAAGTTGGTTGAAAGCATTCTTCACGCACAACACAGATATAACCTTACTTCTCACCACTAAGCTGAGGGCAGTGAGCGTTAATTTCAATTATGAAAAAGCTCTGAATACACAGTTACAGAATTGCTAGGAATCTTTCTGTAGGAACCTCAACCCATTAGAGAGCAAGACTACAGGTGCCAAGAGTTCCTAACTTCTTTAGTCACCCAGTCCTGTTCTGATTCACACTGATGATTTTACTTGAATCAACCTTAGAAACGGCTTCCTCTCTTATTTACTTCAAAGAATCTGCAGCTATGCACATGAAACTGATTCTCTGCTTTATTCCTGCCATAGACAACAGGGTATCATAGCACAAAGACAAAAAGGCTATCCAACAATTTCAGACTGAATCAGAGATGTTTGTTTCCCAGGAAAAGTATCAGGTTCTTGCTGAATCCAGGGAATGAACAGGATGAACATCAAAGGTACAGAAGCATGAGGACTTATGGAAAAAGGAATGATGGTTTCCCCCAAATTAGTCCCACTTAGCTCTCTCCGCTCCTGCCACTGGAAGGTGCCAGGTTCACTTTTCTCGCTTTGGGAGACGATGCAGCTCTTCAAGAGCAAGGACCTGGCTACTGCAGAGATGCATGGAACCAGAGGAAGTTGCTTAATCAGGCCAACTGATAGTTTAAGGTTTGGAGTTTCAGTGCCTTCAAAATACATTCCAGCCTGTTCCTCCTTGGCTCAGAGTTACTGTCTGATTTACAACAGAGACGTAGTATAACTTAGAACTTACCAAGTTAGGACTTATCTTGGCACCAATATCCCATATAAAATCAGAATAATTAAATCTTCACAGATCAGTTATTCCAGCTCAAAGTGAATTTGTTCAATATTGGGAAACTGGTACATTGTTAAAACACTAGCAAAGAACCTAACAGCCGCATGCACTGAGCAGGGAGTCCTGTGCTATCCTATAATTTCGAGGTGCCCCTTCCCATCTCCACTGTTTCTAATGTGTTGACACATCACTGTTCTTGATTAATTTACACACCACAGTTCAGTTTGTTTTGAGGACAGGGAGAATCCAGAAGCAGAAACCGGTAATTAATACACTTGATACAGGACCTACCACGTAAGCCCAGAAAGCGGGTTTTGCACGTGCATGCAGCTTTTTTGTTTAAAAAAGTTCCACTCTTTCTGGGTTTAGTTTCATTCACATCCATGTCTAACCAGGAACACAGGGCAGTCTAGTATTCCTCAAGTAACCTGGCAACAAACCAAAAAGCTGAGAAAGGAGAGCCAAAAATGAAGCCAGAAAATGGATTTTAGTTTCAGGCTGAAGTTAATAATACGGAAAAGTAATTTTTAAATGACTCCTATTCCTCTCCACATGACTTGAAACCCTAGTACAAACTAAGTAAGATACTAGCTTTTGAGGACAGACAGATACAGGCACTTTACAGGATCTCAAAGTCTGCATAATGAATTTTAGAAGCTGCGATGAGAATTACCTTGCTTGTTTCAGGACTCTCTGGGTCAAACTGGACCTGCTTAGCGGCAAGCTCTCTGCCCGTGTCCACGTCGTAGCACAAATACACACGACCAAAGGCACCCTGGCCCAGCAGTTTTCCTCGTCGCCAGTTTATTGGAGCACTTGGAGCTAAAAAAGAACAGTACCAATTTCTCTTTTCATTATACTGTTTAAAGATAATGGTGATCTTTTCAAAGATCAACCCCCATCATACTGGGATTGAAACAGCTATTTTGGAGTTGAAGAAACAGACATGAGGCACTCTCCCAGTATAAGGGAGTTAGTGGCAGAACTCTGAACAGAATCCAACCATGCAGACTCTCAGGACCTGCTGACTGGCGTCCCGTTAAAATGAAACCGTGAAACATTTTGCAAAGATATACTATAGACAAGTTATTCAATGAGGTTGATGAAATTTCATTCCACCAGCAGAGTGGATTCTACATCATCACTATCTTAAGAGATGGGGCAGCAATTAAACAGCATCTTCCAACCCTTGATCTGTAGTTACTATATGCATCAGATGAAGAGCAGCTGGATCAGCCTTGCTAAATCAATCCCACCCAGCTGGGAATGACTGCAAAGCTTCTGGGACAACCTGAAGGACATTACTTCTGAGTTCTTTGCCAACCATTGGTTAGTTTGAGGTTCCTTCTCCTGTGGGAAGGATTTCACTGCAAGGCTATCTCCACAGCAGAAAAATTAGAAGTCATAATTCCTACTAGAAACTGATAAGGTACGGGCCATAACGTAAGCACAGTGCAGGTATCTTCTTTACCTGCTGAACAGTCAAACTCTAATAAAAATATACACGAGAACCAGCTGAAGCAGCCATCTCCAATACCCCAGCCGGAGGTTACATCAGCAGGGAATTACGAGTTCTCATTGTTCTACTGCATTGGTGAGCGCATTGCACAAGCAGCAGCCTCTTGACCCAGAGATTAACACCTGAGCCCAGTTTTCCAGACTGCACTTAATACCAAAACATATTACTCAAAGACCAGTGCTTTAGCTCTAACTTTGAACATGATACTACCAGACTCATACGGTGCAATGCACCCAATTATGTTGTAGCTAACAAGAAACTCTAAAAACAAAGACAGGAACCAGCCATCTGGACAGTGTAAAAATACAGAAGAGCTGAGAGATCAGCTTTGCCAAGTCTAATTTAATCAGATTTACTGCCAGTCGGTGTTGTAGCGTGTTGCTTACTCTGCTGCATTAATGTCTTCATTTTGATCCTTAAATTACTGTATGGGATATCTGAAGTTCATCAGTAATGACTTATGTTCCATTTCTTTTTTTATATTATAAAGTTCCCCAAAAACCAATGCAAGCATGCTATTAATACAGAAGTAAATCTTTCTACGAAGGAGCAAGTGAAATAAATACAGCCCTTAACTAGCAAAATAACTGTAACCCATAAGCCTGACTATAAACGATAATGTATCAAGAAAATAAACAAGCTTGTCTGACTGTTTTAAGAACCCTGTAGGTCACCTAGATCCAATCAACTTACAGGTTTTCTTTACTTCTTAGCTGAATTTCCAATGCTTTCTAAAGGAAAGGCCAGCTCCCAGTGCAAGACTACATATTCTTAGAAGAAAAAGAGGACCTGTCTTATAGGTGGACAGACCAGTCTCTAAACACAGACATGTAATTACATGGTTTTGAATGGCTTGTTAAAAATCAAGCTATGGTAATATATCGGGTCTGGAGTTCATCTCTAAAAGCCTTTCTTGCCCATAACCCTAGGAGGCCTTTCCCCAGTTATCGTCAGGGTGCCTGCTTACATTTGGTGGGAATGTTCCTCTCCTGCACACCAAGGGCATTTTCACTGTCAGCACTCCGCAGGCGCCCCCGGGGGTCCAGGTACTGCAATGCCAGGCCCAAGTTTTCTCCGTTGGTGCTTAAGGAACGACTTGAAGGGACCAAGGTGAAAAGATTCCCTTGGTGACGCCGTATCCGTGGAAATGTCCTCCGGCCTGGAGAAAAAAGTAAAATTTTTAAATAACGTGCTTACAAGTGGAAGGTAATGGCTGGAGGTTGAGCAACGAAGAGAAGGGAGAGGAAAAATGTGTTCTGCTCTGTTCCCATGGAGCAGAATCTACTGCCAAACAGACAAGATGCAAAAATATGACAGTTCAGGGCTGATGCTGCTTGAATTCAGTACAGCTTTGGATCATTCCCAAAGTAGAAGGGAGAGAACGCTTTGTAATGGCCTCAGTGAAGTAGTGCAAGATCTAAACTTGACTTCCAAGGCAAAAATCTGGTTTACAGGCTACCACACAAGCTCTGAGCCTTGTTAACAGCTACACAGACAGAATGACTTTCTAGATAATGTGCCTGGACTTGCAAATAAAAACCATAAACAAAGATTATGACAACTTGCACCTCTTATGAAACTTTGAAAAATTAATTTGCATAAAGCCATCTGACAAGCAGAGATGTGATTCTTTAAGTCACTGGTATATTGAGAAGACCCAGAAGCAAGTTTGCATCCGAATTAGCAAAGCATAATGAATCCCTGAGGGAGGAACCCGCTATATATGACCAAGGCTAGTAACTATGTCCACTGCTCAACCTTAGCAGTCATTGATCAGCCTGGATAACCCCAGAGGGCAAAGTAAACAAAGAATTACAAACAGCCATCGTGGGTTGCTATGAAAATGTTGCATCACGCATGGTAGCATTAACTCCAGCACTAACTGCAAGGACCAGGGCACTTCCAGACTCTTCAACTAGGAGTTACACTCGCCCCTGGAGGTTGCCATTGCCTCACCTTCTTTTTCAAGCCTGGAATCAAAGGTCTGAAAACAACTCACCATCGTTGTAGTCTTTGTGCTGCATGGAGACATTGTAGCGCCGAGGGTAGGTCCCGCCTTTCCCCGCTTTGTCATAGATCTGATTCTCACGGTCTGGAAGGAGATGCAAGGACAGAAGTGAGGCTCCTTCAAAAAGTACACGTTCTAATGACAGAGTTTTCCTGTAACAGCAGGTTTTTTTTAGGAAGAGGTGAGTAATAAATGACTTCTTCGCTGTTCAATCAACGTATTCCCAGTTCTTCTATTTATATAATCCCAGCAAACATATAGGGTAGCCAGCAAACAGCAGAAAACGTCTAGATGAAATAATCTTTATACTGGACACTGACATACCTGAGAACTCCTGTCTATTATCAGGAAAGCTTTGTGCCCTTGACATCCGTGATTTCCGAAAAGAAGGACTATTAAAGAAAGAAGGCAAGAGTAAGTTTTGCTATCTGCTGGAGAGAAACCTGCAAGGACTTTAAATAGAAGCTAATACATTTGCATATCGCTAACGGCGATTCTCAAATCTGTGTCCCTGCAGTAATTTCACGCTACATCTGCAAAGCTGAAGTCAGACTAGCCAGACTATTTCCCAATGTGCGCAGTCATCCTTTCTGTTCAGTTTGTGCCATTTATTCAGCAGCTCCCCAGCCTGTGGTTTGAGACCCAGTGCTTCCTTCAGCCACATGAAATAGAAGGTTAAAACCAAGGCTAAGAAGAAGAGCAAAACAGGGTACTGCTTGCAGCACATTGCTCACAGGGCAGTGGACAATGGGGACCACTGCCCCCAGTGATTTACCATGAGGGCTAAGAGTTCCTCTCACGAAAACTTCTGTGCACTTTCCTCTCTCCCAGCAACAGATGAGCCTGAACACAAGCACTCCTTACAACCCTCGCCTTTCTCCCCAGTAAGCAGGGCTCCTCAAGCAAGCCTAAGTATGGCCCCTTGTTTGGCAGAAGGCCTTTAACATCTCTTAGGAGATTACAAAAACTCAATCTGTGCCAAAGCCATGTTATTTGCACTTTTTTTTGGTTAACCAGTGTAAATGGAGTGAGCCTGATAGAGCTTTCAGACTCCCAAATGAGATTCCTTTCCTACTACACAAAGAACAGCTTCCCCAGATGATGCCCATTCCTACAAGGAATAACCAGGAAGGCTTTTTTTTCCCCTGTCCTCCACTTATGGCAGGGAGAGGGGAGAGAAGGACAGGTAACAAATTAGCAACATCCCCACCCCCAAATAAATGAATGCATGCATACACACAGGTTAACTGTAAGTGCTTCCTTGTAACTCCATAAACAGGAGAAAGCGAATGGCTACAAAACCAAACCTCAAGTGCTTGACATAAAAGTGTACACTACCTACAGAAATCAGCTTGGAGGAATCTTAAAAACACGCTGAAGCCCAATACTACAGGTGCTGGGAAGCCATGGTTGCTATTCAAGTTAATAGGACCTATGGCTGCCCACCAACACCTCAAGCAACACCAACAGCAAAGAAAGAGAAGAAAAAGATCTAGAGCATCAGACTATGACAAACTCTTCATCAAAGGAAGAGCCTCCCTATTTACCTTTGGAATTAATATTATATCTTGCAGGACATAGGAATCTAGTGTAATGATGTATTTCTGTAACCTTAGAATAGGTTGTTGGTTGGTTTGTTTTTTTTTTTAATGAACAAGTAGAGCCTTGTCTAAAAGAGATTTAAATACCCTGCAGCCAGATGTTCTCGGGAGTCTAGGCTCCACACAGACAGCATGCTTTAGAACTTTGTATTTATAACATAGAGCTACTGAAGCACCAGTTTGTCGGTGTATGGTTTTGCCAGAAAATAAACAGCCTTAAGACGTAGTTAATTCTCTCTAAGAAATATATTGGGATATAGATAAGAAATAACTTCCTGTTTCTCTCCAAGAAAATTTACGAGATGGAAAACAGACTTTTGCGTAAGTACAACTGGCATTTTGATTTGAGCACATAAGTTCCTACCAGCTTGTACATTTGTACCTGTCTGCTGACCTGTCCAAGGACTGACAGCTTCCTGACACCGAGTTTTCAGCACTGCTTAAAGGGTCCAGCATCTGCAACACAGAAGAAATCACATGGCAACATCAGTTCCATCTAATGCCTGAAAGAGGCTGTGCAAGAGGATCAGAGTCCATTACTGCTTGCCTGGAGGACGTCCAGATAAAAAGGGGAGTCTAAAGCTATTTAGAATGTGCATCTTTCCTTTATCTCCCACAGAAATTGTTAAGGCCGTATAAAATTTGAGCCATTGCTTTAGGTGTTGAAGGACTGCTGTGAAAATGAAAGTCAGCCTCGTGCTGCATTTTGATCCCAAGTGACTTCAGGAACAGAGCCTCTGCTGGTGCTACTGCATTGCTGCCTCCACCTGCAAGTCGCCCTTTGGCCTTACTTCCTACTTTTTTTGAATGGAGAGCACAGTTTCAAATGCAAGAGGGTCACACAAACCTGGTAATAGGAAACCTGAGCATACATGTGTAACGCACACCAGAACTGCTCAGTTAGAGAATCACAGAATCATAGCATCGTTAAGGTTGGAAAAGACCTCTAAGATCGAGTCCAACCATCAACCAACACCCCCATTTTTTTGAATGGAGAGCACAGTTTCAAATGCAAGAGGGTCACACAAACCTGGTAATAGGAAACCTGAGCATACATGTGTAACGCACACCAGAACTGCTCAGTTAGAGAATCACAGAATCATAGCATCGTTAAGGTTGGAAAAGACCTCTAAGATCGAGTCCAACCATCAACCCAACACCCCCATGCCCACTAAACCATGTCCCTAAGCACCTCATCTACGCGTCTTTTAAATACTTCCAGGGATGGGGACTCAACCGCTTCCCTGGGCAGAGGTGGAGAGACAATGCCCAACATGCATGGTAACTGCTTCTGGCAGTCCAACAAAGGCTTTGAACTTACACAACTACAAAGAAGTTTGAAGCATAGTTTAAATGAACAAAGCAGTACTAGTAGGTGCTAATGCAACTACAGCTAGTGAATATTCTGGAGTGAAAAAGAGGGCCCAGGGAACAGCAGCAAGTTCCGTAAGAGGTGGACTTACTTTTTTTTCCACCCTAATGCTCATACTTACACACTGTTCATTGGTTTCTGGGATGAATTCGCCTTCACTATTTATGCTGGTGTAGGAACCCTGCCGAGCAATGCGCTGTTGCCTCTCTGGAACATACCCAGGAGGTGGTGAACTTCGGCCTGTGTTCTGGGAACCTGGGCCAGAAAGGACATTTTGGTATTTATGCTTACCGAAATGAGACTGCACATACATGTACACAAAATCCAAATATTCACCTCTAATGCTAGACCTCTATGATCACAGCAACTTTGGAGTGAACCTTACAGTCTGGACAGAAATGGAACCAGGAGGTGCCATGTCAAAAAGCAAATCATTCAATGAGCACCTGTACTGTCATTTCAGACACAACAAGATTATTGGTGAAGCTCCTAACAGAGCAGTTACCTATTTCTAACGTCCTCTGCTCAACCTTCTATGCATAATTTTAGTATCTCAGGGCAGGCAGAGGACTCCAGGAATCCCTGGCTTTTGTGCATGAACTTCACTGCTAATCTCCACTAAACAAAACACTTGTCAGGACAACCAATCTTCTGCTGTGATTGTAAGTTTGCCTCAACTAGTATCATTTACCTTGAGTGACAGCATTATCCCTGCTAGTCATCATCAGCTGAGCTAATTATACTGACTCTGAGCAATTTCAGTATCACATGGGAGCACTGTTACCTTTGTAAATAACGCCAAAATTTCTGGTTTACTGTGTGAAAAATGAAACTGTTTGACTAGTTTGGGCGAAACCACATGGAGGTCAACTCTACAATTTCTGTTAATTAGATGAGAGCGCTAGATGGACAGAGAGTATGTTTAGGGGCCAAAGGATGAGAAAAACATTTTGCTCATCTGTTAACGGTGCTACCTAAAGAGTTTCTGTTGTGCTACCTACTGAAACTTCACCCCTAGGATTTATTTTTTCCTTGCAGATCTCAAAGAAGATGATATTTGAGAAACAGGAAGATACAAAATCCCTTTTTGCAGTGACCTATCCACCTGCAGCTCCCACCAAGTCAAACGGTGAGCTCCACGAAATGCTGTGGTCCAGCACTCAAGGTCACCCATGAAGTCAGAGACAGTGTTTTAAGATCAGCTCTCAAGCTGTGCTCTTTACAATGCTGTCTTTAATTAACTGTGTGTACTCAGGTGCTATGAAAGATGGGTGAAGATCAGCAAATACTCTCCCAAGGAAAATATTTTCTACAGAAGTTATTGTAATAAAGAGTGAAGGCAAACATTGGCAGAAGCTAACTGAAAACCAGCGCACACACCTTCCAGAGGACTGCAGAAGGAAAAGAAAACCCAATGCTGGCATGGCTTAGAGGGCATGGGGGGGTGAACTACATGCAAAAAAGTAATCTATTGCTTAGAGCTACCCTAGCTCTGCAGGGCTCACGTGACATTACAAGCCAACTGGCGTGGAGATAAACAAGAGAGCGTGCTTTGGGGCTGCACTGAGTCACGGGAGCACACTTTCACTCTTTCCGATACAATGCCATGGCTGGCCAAAGGGAGCCCAAGTCCTGCTGGCATCGGCCCAGCCGCTATTGTGGAAAGGCCACCATCACTGGGCAGGAAAAGGAAGTCGGCACTAAATCAATGTATATCAAAGGAAGTGAGTGGAAAAAACACAAGTGCTGCCAGAATGCTTAGCAACTTTTTTTTTTTTTTTTTTTAAATAAAAGTTATCTTTACTTCCAAACTTCTGAATTGGTGACAGCAGGCTTGAGGCCCATCCACTTTAGAAGACAGGAACTACACAGATATCTCCTGCATGCAAACAACTTTTGTTGAATGCTGCTTTCGACTTTTATTGCATGATGTGGTATGAATAGGAAAGTCTCTATGCCTGAAAAGCTAGGAAACAGGGGTACATTCCTTTTCCAAATCAGAGATAGGAGAAGAGAAGGAAGAAAGAATTGATTCAAGACTGAGCTATTGCCATCAGACCTCTGACAGAACTGGAACTCTTCTGGACCTCTTAACAATTTAACAGTCTGGTACTTTGACATGTTCAGAAAATAAAACCAGTGCTTTCTTGATTGATGAATGACAGGCTAATCAGAAAGCATCCACAAGCTGGGATAAGAGGAAAGAGTCTGTACAACTGGGATACAGAAGGGGCCCCTTATTACTATACAGTTTACCCACGACAGACACTCGGTACAGTCTGTTAGCTTTGGCATCATTATTTGGATACCTTCAAATGCCAATAAAGGAGAAAGATATTTTTTTTAAATAAAATATTGTTGGCATTGAATTTGTCTGTGAAAAAAGAAACGTGGTGTTCAGACATGCATGGATACTGCTGCCTTCTTCATAGGACCTAGGAATGTTGCTCTTTTTATGCATATTAACTTCAAACTAGAAAGGATGGGAAAACTCTTTTTGTCCCAGTTTCAGCCACGTACTTCACAAGCTTTCAGCACTTCTTTGTTTGCTACTTCATAAAAGCAAACAGTACAAAAGGGGATCAGCAGACTCTAGACAGGATACAAACAGGTTTGCTAGACAAGTCTAGTATTGAGAACTACTGGTCTAGTTCTCAAGTCCTTCTCTACTGAGCTTACTCTCCCAATTATCTTTGGTCAGAACAGAATGGATCTGACTCCGGTTTAAACCCCCCATTATGGAGACTGTCTGTTCTAGTTTAATCGGATTTATTATTTGACACTAAGATTGCATTGCAAATACCAATCTAAAATCCTGTAATGATTATGCCTCAAGTTTACACTGTTAATGAAACAGTAGCACTCCTCTTCCACAGAGGGAGCTGGTTTAGAACTTGGAAACAAAACAACTCTGACATTCCCAGCTCCTAATACTGCCCTTGTGATTTGCAGCACCTGTCATCTGAAGCATTAGGTCTGACAAGCCCTAAAATAGCTGTTGTAACAAACACAGCCATCCTCTGCTTCTGTTTCCAGCAAAATTTAGCTTTTATCACTTCTAAAGCAAAAGTCATTTAACACAGAACACCATGCTAGGCTCTAGTCTTCATACTGCAGATCCCTATTACTGCTCACCTTCTTCCCGTTCTTTCACTGCTCACTGAATTTCACACCAAAGAGCCAGATTCTAAACCACAGACTTTCTTTTTGGACCCAAAAGTCTTTGAAGCAGATTCAGATGTTTTAGTTTTTCATATAAAAAGTTAACAGCTTTGAGCACCCTTCAACGACAGATTTGAATAGCACTGCATAGTTATACAGGGGGTTGTAAAACAGAAATTGGGACAACCCAGACAAATCTACCAGATAGAAGTCATTAAAATTACAGGAGTCTTACGTGGACCTTTCCACTAAACACGAGTTCACTAAGCTGACAGAAACACAAAGGAAATGAGACAAAGGTACATATTACTCTGACTTTTCTTATTATCTTTTGTGCAGCTGTGCCAGTCACCTATGGTATTAGCCTTGTGCTCTACTCATCTGGTAATTATGGAGTGAAAGGTTAGGGAACTCAGTACGTAGGGTGCTGGTTAGATATGCAGTGGCAATTCCTGTGCTACTAGTAAAATGCTTGATTACAGGAGTGAGGACAGATTCCAAAGCCCAACATAAAAAAAATAAATCAAATCTAGGTTTCATGAACTGAAATTGCCAATATAAATAAAAAGCTTAACGGACTCACGTAAGCTTTCCAAATTTCTAACCTCAATGAATCTGGCTTTAGGACATCTCCTTTAGCAGCTCCTCAGCTGTTCAACAACTTAGTAAGGAACTTTGAAACATTCTATTGTAAACATATTAAAAGCTTTTGAAAGTGAACTGCCCTGTCCTAGAATAACCTTTCAATTTCTCATGGCTTTCATAAACACTATACCATAAACACTAGTGCCCAAAAGATACCTTTCACAAAACAAAGACAAGCAGAAGTGGCAAAAATACTCACTGACAGACAGATGCCTACTTCTGGGTTCTGGCTGCTGATAGGGTGTGTTCACATCCCCCACAGACTGAGAAGTTTTAATCCTGACTTGTTTGGGCAGTCCAGAATGGGGTGAAGAACTGGTCTGTTGGGTAAAATGAAAAAAATAAAATAAAATGAGACTGAGGAGCTCGAGCAGTCTAGCCACAGTTTCAAAAATATTATGTTTAGTAGCAAGAAAAGTAGCTGAGAAACAGCTCTAGAGCCTGCGATTTTATTAACTTCACAGAACACAAACAATAAAGGCAGCGAAAGAGCAAGCTTCACAATTCTGGTGTAAAACAGGAGTCGAACAACTAGAGCATGCTACCCTCCAGCCTCAAATTGAATGCAGGATTTACAAGTCTCAACGTTTGTCTTCCATTAGCAGCCACCTATGAAACCAACAAGAAGGGGCTCATACCACTCACTGAGACCAGACCGTGGAAGAACCTACAATTTCCATCAGCCATCTTGGCCAGCAGAGATAAATTACGTCTCTTGCACTCTTTCAGAAGCAGTTAAGATAGCAACTTGACTCCCCACAATCTTTAAAAAGTAAACTGACACTTCAGACCATCTAAGTGAAAATAAATTCTAGAGAGTTTAAGAGCACAAAGAGTTTGGAGATACCAAGATGAACGCTGCCTGTGTTGCTTTTATCCATCCTTCCCTGAACTTACAGACATAACCTGATTAAAGATCATTTTTCCACAGTGCCTTCATCTCATTCAAAGTAGGAAGAGGAATGACAGGAGACATGTCAAAGGACTTCTCCCCGATTTGTTGAGAAAGATGGACGGGGTAGCTCCAGTGCGCTTTGTGGGAAGAGGAACAGCAGGATGGTTTTGCAATTCAGGGCAGTAGGATGCTGCCCAGGAGAACTGCTGCCCTCCTTGTGCAGCAGTTAATCACAGCTCTGCCACGAGAAACTGCAAGGCCACTTCAGACTCCAGAGGATGCTCACTTGGAAATACTTAGACTGCAGCTTCAGGCAGCTAACACCTCTGTGCTCTTTCCATGGATGACACAGGGAACACGGGCTCTTAACACAGGACTGAACAGGACACCAACAATCTGAGGATGGTGCACTAAGGTCTGAACATATGAAATACCGTGAACATCCAACCTCCCCCAAGCAAATGAGATCCTATGCATGTCAAAGCAGGTGCTCAATACTAGTGGACAATCTCAATTTTAATCTTCTTGTCCCAAAGTACCTAGTTTTACAAGAGGATGCAATAGTCCCTTCCTCTCGTGTGTTACAGAATTTAACTAATGCTTGTAAAGCACTTATTTTATTGAGATGAACATAACCAAAGAGACCCCAAGGAAATGAATTCTGTCTTCTGAAAATTATTTGAATATGACTGGCCAACAAGGTGTGAGGCCACACAATCAAAAAAGTAAAGAATACCTTCTCATTTAATAAGCGCTTACCCTTGCACAGAGTAAGGAGGGAGCCTGATTTAAATTACATAAATTCTACCATGAATAGATTCATGGGAGCTGAATAAAGGGTGCAGAGGTCACACCATTCATGTGGGCAGTCTAGCTTTAGTACTCTAGGTGTTCAACTTAACCAGTTCTTCCCATTAGTTTCTAAACACAAAGGACTGACAACAGAAGTGAGTTGCTTGATGAAAGAAAGCACAAGTGAGCCACAGAAAGAGGCACAAGAAAATTAATATAAACGCTATTCACAAACACAGGCTCTCAGTACTAGTCACACTGCTACTGCTGTAAAGTTAATTTGTTTTATATACATATTTGTGCCAAAGTCACGGCATTACCTTTCCATCCCCAGAAAAAGAAAAGAGCACAACCAAAACAAAATCTGCATCCTGTACTTCAGGAAAAATAATGCTTCCCGCTCCCTCAGTGGGATGAGATCATGCAGCCAAGAAACCTCCTTCAGACTTGTGGGCTTTTGCTTTATCACATGTAGGGCTCTCCTGCCAGGCAACTCAGGGCTGAAGAGGAAGTCGGAGGAGAGGGGGGAAACAGTGGCACTTACTGAAGACTTCGCTGTTTGTTTCTGCTTTGAGCAAAAGAGGAAAAAACAGCTAATAAAAGGACAACACCACAGTACTGGCTACTGGCTGGTGTAGGGATGAGATTTGCTAAGTGTTTACTGTAGGTGGCTTAGGTAAAGTTCAGATAGTATCATTTAACATCTGATTTGCAGTCTGAAGACACTGAAATTAAGAGAGGGCTGTAAAAGAGGACTGTTTTACTGTGTCATACCAAAAGTTGAGGCCACCTTTTACAGACTATTTCCTGACAACGCAGAACAAAGTCTGAGTACGCTAGGTCAGACCAAAGGCCTTCTTGCCAAGTATTGTCTTCAGAACAGCCAGCAACAAGTGCTTAGGGAAAGGGCATACGACAAGGAACAGCATCATCCCCTCCTACACCTTTCCAGCTTTTGGCATCCAGTCATTTGGGAAAGGGCTGTTAACACTCCTGAAGGTCTTTGCATTTCTGTTAACATGGATTATCAAATTCAAAAATAGCACGACATATATAAGTTCTCCTGACAGTTCCGAGAATTACAGGTGTGATTATTTCAAGAGTTTGAGCTCACAGCCTGCAGAACTTGAATAGGGATGAACATTCAAGATGGAGAAGCTACTACCAACAGAGCTTTCAAGACAGAGTAGCTTTTTGTGTCACACTCTTCAAGAGAATTTGGTAATTTGCAAATAGAATATCTAAGCTATCAAGGTCTTTGGCTTGAAAAGCTGTATGACCTTAATTCTGAAAAAAAAGACATTGGTTAGTGAACAAAGTTCTCCAGTCACAGATCAGGAATAAGGAAAACTTCTGACTCTTTTTGCCCTCTTCAGCTCGCAGTTCAATTCACTGTTCAAAACAGGCAGCTTTGGGAGTTTGACTTAAAGACTTACTTCTCATGTTACGATTTTTTCTGCTGAAAACTGCAAACTACATTGACACTCACTGCCACAGCCACCTGTGGTATCGGAAAGTGAACCAAAACACAATCAAACTCATCTTAGGTGTGAATACACCATTATTTGCTAAAAGCAACTTAGTTTCTACAGAGCAAGGCTGGATTCAATGCATTAAGCTACAGAACTGAAAAATCATTGGGAGCTGTCCTTAGGCTTCTCACCAGGAAGAAAAAGTGCCAATAGCTTGTCTTCAAGGACAACCTGTGCTTTCTTAAAGGCAAGATAATTACATGCACTTTCAACACTGTGCTATTAATCAAAGGTAAAAAAAAAAAGTTCTCTGTGAACCAAACTCATTAAGTGTTTTCTGAATACAGTCACTGGGTACTTGATATAAAATGGCCTTCATATTACAGCTTAAAAAGCTGCAATGGTTTAGTCCCTGAACAGCTGCTGAAACTGGGAGGGGAGCAGGGGGGAAGGAAAAAGAGATACCTATAGCTAAGCCAAAGCAAAGAGGATAAACATATGCATTTGTGTCTGTGAAGAGTGATTTTACTAATTCCTGTTTTTCTCAGATAAGGCTACCATCATATTTCAGAGACTTAAGGGTAAAAACCTTCAATTGGCTGCAGTTACAAAAGTTGTTACCTACATGGTTTCTGTCCTGAGACAGCAATAATATTCTAAGGCTTTTCACATTAGAGCTTCGGTCTAAGAGATCTACTGCTTTATCCAGGTCATCTTGATTTTTCAAAGGAATAGATAGCTGCAAAATAAAGAACAGAAAAAAAATCATTAGAAAAGACAGAAAAAATAAGTCTCCTTCCACAATAGGTATTTAAACAAACATTAGAAAAAGAAAAAAAAAAATCAGAATATAAGATAGAATTCTGATTGCTCAATTATTCCACAAATTTTCATTACAATACTGTCTTACTGTCCTTTTTAAAAAGGTTTTCCTCCCATGCCAGAGAAATGGCTGACCTTATGCAAATTTCTAACACACTATCCACAAAAATATTAATTGCTACCTGAATTTGTTGTTTGCAAAGAACAAGTCAGGGACAGGTCTCTGACTCCCTCATGAGAACATTGTCTCAGAATACTTATGAACCCAGACCTAACGATCAAGTGAAAACTGGGTTTCAGATAGAGACTAGTACAAAGAAGATTAAGACAGTCCACTCACATCTCAAAACGTGAACGTTAACAACACTGAAGAACCCCTTTCATTTTTGTCCGACTCCCACTGGTGAATAGGGTTTTGCATCTCTCTCATTAGGGACGCAGCCCCGAACGGTGGCAGGGCAACACCACAATAAAAAAAACCCCAGGAAAAGCCAGGGTGTCCAGAGGGAGAAAGCAAACAAAATACTTTAGATTATTAACATGGACTACCCAGTTCCTCAGAGACAAATGCTATTCCCCACGTCACTTTCTTTTACCAACAACAGCGCCCACAGCATCTCATACCAGCGAGCCTCCCCTGTTCTCTAACTGCCCTTGTTTGCCTACCAGCGGGGCAATAAACAGAAAGCGTTGCAGCCAGCAGAAGGTAAATGTGTTACAAATGGCTGGATGGCTGCTGCTGGTCAGCAGTCAAACACAAACAGTACTGACTCTGCTATCGGGACTGCCTGCAGTCTTCAGACTGTATATATATTGGCTGGCAATAGTTGCTTTCAACAGTCAAAATACTTCAAATACTTTTTTTTTTTTACTTCCCCAAGAGAGTCTCCCAAACAATACCAGTACAAGGAAGCAAGATGCTGGTGTTCGTACAATACACACATCAGTGTGATGTTTTGTCAGTATCAGCATGTTTTCCTCTGGAGCAGAGTGATTCAACTATGGCTCATATTAGAGGGAGGAACTGAAAATTAAATTGAAGGGTACAGAATTTGGGATGGGAAAAGGAGGTGTCATCCAGAGAGTGTGTTACATGTTCTGAGCACTGATAACAACGCTCTGTACCTCATTGTTCATGTAGTGGAGGTCCAGTGGCTGGCCAAAGGCTGTTTTCACTTTCTGTTGCACGTCTTCATAGCGCACGGGACGGACAAATGGGATAATTCTGGAACGAAAGAAAAATCACTGATTGAATTCAGAGATGTACTTGACAATGCAATCAAATTAGATGGCTGAACCATTAAAACCACATTTGCATGTTCCCCTTTCATCCTCAAGCAGGTAGTGAACCTTTCTAATCTGAATTGATATTAATTATTTCAGCAAGGAATTCTTGATCTCTGGTCCATTTCCAAATGGTTTGTCAAAATGCAATATTCAACTGAAGATTTCAAATAGAATGCCTTTGTCCCTGGATAGAAAAGCATCCTTTACTGAATAAATTTCTTCCACGTAACAGGATACAAATCTCCTATGCACTTTGGCTTAAAGAATACTGCCTCAGGCACAAAACACAAACAAATACATTCAATGAGAGTTGAATTAAAAGCTGCAGAAGGCCCAAAGAACAAAAAAGTATTTGGTTTAAGTACTCCAATACCTGAACTCAAAACTCACTCCCCAAAAATTTCCAAAATGCATTCCAGTTGAAAGGTTTCAACAAACACTTCCACAGCAAAGTAGTCCTGAACTCCTGAGGGAAGGCATCAGCAGGAGGACACAAAGGAATCTGAAAACCCTCTTTCCCAAAGGTGGCCTGTGACATTAGCTCCACGTTAGCCCTCTGCATGCTCAGCTCAAACATGTCCAAACATCTGAATCACAGACTCACTACACTGTCTCCGCAGTTATCCTTCAAATCCCGTGCAACACTGCAGGGGCTTTTTCTCAAGAGCCGAAGTCAAATCTAACTGTAACTGTGCAACCATTTTTCACTCATGGCTTGCTTTATTTAAAAAAAAAAAAAAAAGCTTTTTTTTAATTACAGAGGCCAAGTAGATCAAAACTTAAATACTGCTTCAGCTGTAATAGCACTGGCACAGCTGACTTGCAATAATTCAGAATATTCATGTAAGACAGATCAGTCTCATACTCTCACGCTTCCTCCCTTATGAGTATTTTTCATATGTTACACATCTCTGGGCACCTTCACCGACGGACACACACAATATGCACAGATGTGAATTATTCTGATCACTTTCCCTGAGCCCAGACCTTGTGACACACTAAACCCTCAGTTCTAGCACTCAGCCGTTTCCTTGCCAGTTGAATGGCAGGAGTTTTAGACTCACGTACACAAACGGCCTCAAGAAATCCAAAATGCCAACAGGCACAGCCATCCTAGGGGAACCCTGCAGAATCCTGTGGCACGTGCATGATTTTCAGAAAATGATAGTATGGTTTTCTTTGTTGGGTTTTTATTACTGTTTTGCCTACCTTGGAATAAAAACTCTAATGCTTTAGGCAAAGTAGTAATATGAAGTTCCAGCAAAGCATCTAAAACTGTTTATTTTGGTGGAATGTTCTTCTGTAGGAAGTTGCCAAGTACTCAGAAAGTCGCTACCTTGACAGCCGTGGAAAAGGACGATTTTCACCCTCTTCAGAAGAAGCAGCAAGTAAAAGATCCTGGGTCAAGAACTGAAGGATTCAAATGTGAACTACAGTTTACAACCCACTATCCTAGCAAACCAAGGATGTCTACTGCTCGGAAACCCACTTTTCACCTCTCTGCTGCACAAGGCCCAGACGGTTGGTTGTTCTTGCCTTTGGCTTCCTGCAACCAGACTTCTCACCATCTGCTTCCATGGGCCACGAGACCACACTGCATCTCCACTACCGGCAAGTTAAACAAACAGCTCTGGGACACAGCTGACAGCCACCATCGTTCTGAAAGCTATTAGACAACTTCTAATAGCTGCACCTTGAAACAATTCTGCTTCGGCATAGCTGAAATACTGCCCCAAAAAGCTTGATTATTAGCACCACTTAACAATTTTGCCATCGGGCAGAAATAGGAAGACCTGAACGGACCACAGAAACTCAAGAACTATCTTGCTCACAGGGGCAGCTCTCTGAGCTCAGTGAAACCCCGAATCACCTCTGGGGAAGCTCACACAAGTTCGTGCTGAACCCGTGCTTTGGATAGAAGGCTTAGTTTCCAAAACATCCATCCAGCCTGCTTCCAGCACTCAGTATCCTTTCACGATATGCAGCTTTTGTTTTAAGTAGCTCTAGTGTTAGTTGGCTTCCTTAGCCCCTTCCCAGGAAGGGTTCATCTTGCTACCAGACCTACAACGTTCAGCTATTTAGAAATTGTCCTTGTTAAAAAGCAGCCCACAATAACATTTTCTACATATTACTAAGAAACCCATCCATGAAATTATAGTACGCTGGCACCGTACAAACGTAATTTAGCTCTCAGTTGAGCCGAAGTCCCTTATAAAGGCTTCCATTCTACACTCAATGCATTAAAAAGCAGAGCTGTTCTCAGGTGCCACAAATTCTATTAGTTTAAAAACTCTGTGCACTCTTCTAACACAAAATCATGGACTGCAGGGTTTAAGGAGCCCATTCCTGCCTGACCACCTTAAATATTTGTGGTTAGATCTGGCAGCTCCTCTGAAACCAAGCACACACACTTACATTCTCGGTGCAAGCTTGCTGTCTGTAACTGCATACCACTTCGGGAATGGGGAATTCAGGCGAGCGTAACTGCATAATTAGACTAACACACAATCAACCTTTTCATTTTAATGTTACTTCAGAAAAAAACCCTTTCTTCTCCCCTGAGCTCTGTGCCATCTTAAATGCACTCAGGCAGAAGACAGGCAAGATGATAGGACTGCGGTGACAAGATTTTGCTTCCAAGTTACCTTGTCCTAACATGGTATCACAAGAAATTGTGACATGTCACACAGTGGCTCTGTCGTAGTCCACACAATGCCTGTGACACAGTAGAGTGCTGAGAAGATCTGGCTGACAAAGGCGGCAGTAGATCCCAGCTACGATCACTTTTAAATTTTCTCCTTGAGGCCCAAAAGTCAGGGTTTTTTAGTGTCAGAATTCACCACATAGTACTTCGGTCCTCCTTGAGGCCCAAAAGTCAGGGTTTTTTTTAGTGTCAGAATTCACCACTTCGGTGAATGAAGCAGTTACATTTTTGAGGAAGACTTTACAAATGATCCTCTGCCATCTGCTTTATCAACAAAGAATGCCTCTGCTTTTCTGTTTTAACAAAAATCCCTTAATTTGACAAAGGAGGATACTTGGGGAGGAGCTTAAGCAGCTCAGCCAGTAACCTTTGCTAGTAATAGGCTGTTAGGATCACTACATGCAACTTGTACTGTGGCACTATCAACATCAAGTTTGCATTTTATCATGAAACTGTGAACTACTTCATGTTGAAAATACTGTCTGAGATGGGAGAAACCAAAGGATTCCCGTAGGATGTTCATTCTGTGAAGAGCAGCATATAAATTCATGCTTACCATCCAATTAATTTCTTCAGAAAAAGGAAACTGGAACCTACCATCAAGATCCCTTTTTCCCCTCAGCGAGAGCTCAAGAGCAGCCTCAAAGAGGCTGCAAACAAGTTTGGAGCCTTTCTGTACGTTCACACAGCCACTGAACAGCCGTAACAGTATCGAGAGTTTCTCTCAACTAGACGGCAGGTAAGGAGCTTTTTGAGACCTACTTTGAAATGTCTAGGCAAGTTTATCCATTGGAAACAATACTGTAAACACCAAAAAAGCTAATTCAGTTTATTCTGTTTTTTGTAAAAGAAAGTGTCTCAAAACTAAGTATCAGAGGAAATAACAAGGAAACTTTTAGACCAATGAAAAAAATCTTCCCTTGCTGTATCTGTTGCTCAGTCACAGGAGAACAGTGACAGTGATAGGTCATCAGGAAGTGAGAAACTAGAAAAGAATGACACTAATTTCATCTGTTTCATTTGGTTTTAGTTAAATGGAACAAATAGGGAACATATCTGAAATAAGGCTATCGGGCTGAATTTATTTCAGGCTGGACAGCTTTTTTTAATATTACTGCAATTCATTTACAAATAGATACCATGAAAATAAATCAAAGGAAAGTGTTATATGACACACTGATTTTTAAAGATAACTAAGTTGTGTATGACCTGTTTGCTGTTGCCTTTACAGTGTGTTTTTCATTCAGGAACAAGGAAAATGAAGCCAACAAAACATTTAACCGAAGTTACTGATGACTGAATTATTCTACTAACCAAAGAATCAAAGTAGCGAAGACAGGCTTACCGTCTTTCCCCGTTATGTTCAAACTTTATCCTTACATCGTTCTGCAGAAGAAAGAACAAAAGGTTAGTTCACAGTGAAACTCTGGCATACATAAAAGCATACAGACGGATCATATCATGATTTTAAGGCCCAAACACAAAGCAGGTCAATTTGTGATTGCAGCAGGCATCAACTCCTCAAGAGGCTAACCAGAACACAAGTCTGATAACTTTCTCCACGGAAGCTGAAGCAGACTGCGGACAACAAGTGGCTGACACATGAACACAGCACCATGAGGAATGGAGAAATTGCTAAAGGAGAAAGAGAAGGAAAGGGGTAAAAAATAAGTTGTAATTTTTATTAGTTGTCACTTAAACAGAGGACACTGAAATATACTTGAAGGAAAATTAATCCATCTTTAACATCGCATGGCAAAAATCTGAAATTGAGTCCGACTGCGTATTCATCTGAACTGAAGCTGATTTTCTTTGTGCATTCTCAAAGCAAGTGTGTTTTCTTCTATGGCAAAAAAAGAGAGAGATACAGGGAACACGCTACATTCTTTATTCTTAAGACACAGACTAAATCTCCGCTTTTGCAAAAATGCAGCCCCTGGAACTCAGACTATGAAGTTACAAACAAGTTAACTATGTGTCATCTTTTAAAGTGCCAAGGGGTCATCATCCAGATCTGGCAGATGGTTGAAAGCACTGACCGCGCAACCTGTGCATTTCACTGTAAACTCAGAAGATGTTATGTGGCACGGAAGAGTCAACATGCCGAACTTTCAACTCTGGAGATCAAAGTTCAAATCCCAATTTAGGTCACAAAGATAAAAATAAAAGGGAAAAATCTGCTCTGATAAGACTCCATAATTTCTGCTGCACAATTTATGTGATTGGAATAGATTAAGCCATCTGTGAAAGCTTTAGACAATAGGCAATCATACATCTAGGAACTTCAAAAAAATGTGGCCAGGAAATGCTCTTTAGCTAGAGGAAGTATCTGGCAGGCCTAGTGGTCAAGAATGCAGTTCAAAGGGACCCATGCAATCACTGCGAGTACACAGTATTCCTGCAGCAATACTGTAGGTACAGAATTGATCATGACAAATGAGCTTCCCCATCAGAGCCACAATCATCTGCAGGTGGGTAATTATACGTAACTTTACCAAAGGCGTTTTCTCAGATGTGGGAAGAGAAAGAACTTACTCTAGAATGACACCAAAATGAGGCAAATTCTAGAGAACTCATTTTAATTGAACAGTAAAGGAAAAATGCAACACACACCATAGGAATAATAAGCTATAAAAGATGTCCACCAGCCAGCTACCGATGAAACAGTTGTTTCTTAGGCATAATGGATGGAGGAGTGATCCCTTTACATTAGGGATTTTCAGGAGAGGAAGGCCATACTGTTCTAAGTAACCCAGTCTAAGGGAACTAAACAGGACTGTTTGGATTAAATTGAATGAAAGTAATTTTTCAGATTAAATTTCTGACCTCAAGATGCGTTTTAGGTCATGAAACAGCTCTCGCTAGTTAAAATCAGACAACACTAGAAGATCTTCAGGGCTCTTTGGAAACCTTTCTTCAACTTACTGGTACCTAAGCAAACTAAAATACCTTTCTCAACAGCATCGCATGCTTTCAAACCTGTAATTTGTAACAAAGGGAAGGGTGGGGGGGGAATTTGGCATCTATCTCCTGATGATTTTTCCAAAAGGATCAGACACTGGCCACTTGTGTCTATTTTTCAAAGATCTAAGGAAAGGTATTTTAAAGTGATCTTAGTGTTTAAATTTCAGAGAGAACCTAGAGGAGTTAAACTTCTAGTGCTTTTCGTTTCCTTTGAAAGCAGTGAACCTATCACCTATATAAACCACTTTTTAGAGCAGCTCACAAACTGTCCTAAGAGATGAGTAAGAAAGCAAATCCAAGTTTGGTGCTTTAGCGTTCCAGTTCTGTGATGCGGTATCATAAATAACGATTACAGATCTTGATTTAAGACATCTCTGAATTTACGTTTCAAAGTGATTTGGAAAGGATTTTGTACTACTCCATCTATGGATTTGTCCAGCACATTCAAGGAAATCCCACATCCCAGCTGAACAAGCAGATTATGAGCAGACAAAGCATAAGAGACAGACATGAACTTTAAAGCCTGCTCCAAAAAGCTTAAGCCTGTAATAAGGATATAACTGGAGTTACTTTACTGATATAGGCAACATCTCCCGTTAACGTTCGTCTAACTGTTAAGTAACGATTTAATTTTTTAAGACAGTAATGGACACAGAATTCTTGACTGAAATTGTTGCTTTTGCATTCAAGTATTTCATTCAAACGATATGCAGCATATCATATCATAACATCACTGACAGAGTGATATTACTCTGTCCTTTCTTTCTACCAGAAAGTCAATGCAATAGTTTTCTCTACAAAAAAAAGTCTCTAGCAATGTAAAATGGACCTAGAGATGTTTTAAAGTATTGACCCTGCCACTTATTACCTTGGGAGAAGTATTTCTTTTAGAAAATGGACTTCACATCCCCATACCCAAATAAGGGTTAGTTTCATTCCCATCTTCATGTGACATATGACTGAGTAACTCCAGACAATCCTCCCTGTTAAGGACGCTGCCTCTATTCAGACACCTGTAAATAGCTGTTTCCTTTTTCAGTGAAGCAAGGTTTATTACAGCTTCACTAAAGCCAGTCCTTTCAGACAATCCCCTTCACTGTTCTTGGATCAACTTCAGTTTGACTACCTTTTATCGAGATCTTGGTTCTGTATTCACATGCAGTCTGAATCGTATGAAGATGACACCAGCATTAGTTCATTATCCGACAGACTGCTTTATGCAGTTTTAAACTGCAGGGGCCTTCTTTTGCATCAGAGATGGAAATACTTGTTTCCTTTTCATCATTACGCTTCTCAGTTCCCTGCTTCCCTTTGAATTTAAGTATTACTTCCATTACAATGAAAAGTGCATCATACTGCTACATCATGACAGAGTCAGTAAAGAAAAGCTTTCCTGGCCCCCCACACCTGCTTAAATGAATTCTATAAAGGTCACTGCACACAACTTTAAAACATGCTCCTAATTTATAATTGCTAACATTGAATAGGAAGCCAGTTTTCTTACCGGAATTTTTTTTTCTTCCACTGCAGAGGCACACTGGTTTGTTATTGCAGGGCTGCCCAAGAGGGGTGGACTGCTGGCATTGTGTTTTTTCTTTAAAAATAATAAAGTCATTTAAAAAAAAATGGTAATGCGACTGTGAAACCAGAAAACCACTCGGTAAACTTTTTAGCTAATCTACACAGACCAAACCCCATCAAAAACATGCGGGGGAGGAAGGCAGAATACCAAGATGTTGCAAATTATCAAAACTGCATCCTCCCTAGTCGATAGAGGTAAGTAAATACAAAGCTACCATGTTGGCACCACAGCCTGAGCAAGAGCAGGGAGCTAATCCACCTGTGCGTCTGACTGCTGAAGCAGCACAAGACAGAACAGAGGCAGGAGACCCCCTGTCAACCTACTCTGTCCCTTCTGTCTCCAGGTAATGATTTCAAGTACTCGCTAAATAGCTTATTACCTGTTTGTTGGAGTGAGCAGTGTCTTTATTCTTCATGGTATCATATCCAGTCAGTCTGTGACGTCGGCTCATCTGGAGTGCTACCAGGTCCTTCATGATGGATTTCAAGGCCTCTTGTTCATCTGTGATGCACAAGAATTTTAGCAGTAAGTTGCCTGGGTGAGTATCAACCATAACACTTCTGCACTTGTTTTCTGCTGGCTCATAGAAAGACGATCCTTTCTAGGATCTTTGCAAAAATACTGTAATTCCATTTAGTCAGAAAAAGCCCAAACTTAATCTAAATATCACGAAGTAGTAAACAGATAAATTTCAAGTCGCTTGTCCAATGTCACAAAAGGATCTGGCCATAGTAAGGTTCAGAATAAATATCCCCAGCCCCTAGTTCTGTTAAAACAGCTTCACAACAATCAGTACAACTTGGACAGATTTGCTAGATCATCATAGGTCATTTAGGAAGGGCAAACTGATGTGCTTCTGCCAAGGAAAACCTGGTAAGAATCTGTTCTTTCCAATTTTATATCCTGTTAACTTAGAATTCTTGCTCACTAGCGGAACAAACCCCGGCCAATAGAAAGAAAAATGAAAATCTGGACAAAGAGTCATCTTAGAATATCTCTGAATACAAATCCACTTGCACTGATTTCCCCAACACATTCCTCTCTTCCCCCAAAACAAGCTGAGGGAACAAAGTTCAAACCATTTTATGAGACTTCAAGATCTACTCAACAGATTCAAATCGTGCAGCATTAAGAACAATGTCTGCTGGCAGAGTATAACGCAGCAGGTTCAATTCAAGGCTTCTTGCAAATGCAGGAGAATAAAAAACACATATTGAAATTTTTCTTATACATTCTACTGACTTAAAATAAACTTTCTGAAGCTAAGATTCCTAATGTAACCAATTCAAAGTGTTCTTCCATTGCTTGTTAGTTTTGAGGACAGAAGTGATATTTAGCAGAACTTTGCGTGAAACCTAGAAAACAAAGACACAAAAAAAGGAAAGAAAGGCATAGTAGCTGGGCTGTGATGGATGCTAACATAAAGTAAGAAGGTGTCTAAGAGCTACTGAAAATAATCCTTTGCTTTTGCAAGTATAACAATCCTAAATTACTCGACACTGCAAAAGCGAAAAAAAGTTGACACGTGAAGTTTGGTTGAAAATAGGACTGCACCAGCCGCTTCGCTCCCAGGCGCTGTGCCACCAGTGTAACAAAGCAGCATCAGATGCTATCACTCAGAGGATCTGCTATTGGCACACTCATGCCTACTGGATTGCCGGGCTGTCGTCTCACATATCAGGACTCAAGAGTTTTTAGGGATAAAGCATTTTTTCCTTGGCAAATAATACATCCAGTTAAATCTTTCCTGATATTGAGGCATAATTTAGGCATGAAATTTGAAGCAGTGATTAGATCAGCTATGAACATGCCCAGAAGAAGAATCTGCCCTTTCTAAAAGAGGCTGTTTGGACTCGACCGCCAGTTTTGGATGTAAAGCTTTTTTTTTTTTTTTTTTTTTTTTACAATTGGAACTTTTGGAAGCAATGTGAACCAGTAATGCATAGACGAGGTTATCACAACCCTACTCATATGACAGTGTATCAGGTGCGCAGTGCTCGATATGCCAGATTCCTCCTTTCCTCCCAAAGTCCACAAACGCGTCACTTCCATGTGTTTGAATTGAAATGAGCATTTTTGAAGCTGATTCGTAAATAACTGAAACATGGTTTTAAAAATCCAGCACAGCTACACACTCGTTCTCAGTTGATGGCACTGGTTTGGATGGGTAATGGCTTACATTTGGAAGTGTTGTCCTGGGAACAGCTGCTGTAAATTAAATGACGGACTGACTCGCATCTGTATTTCTCTGTAAAAGGGACTCATTGGGACTATTTGTTTCTTCAATTTCACGTTATGCATTTGTTCATGAGTGTGTCTCAAAGAAGCTAGCTTATGTTTTATGCAGAAGACTGGGTTCATGATTAATCAATGTCTGAATAGCAAACTAGATTTTCGCAATGCTTAAAGATGACAGATGTGGGACACATACAGCTTCTAAAGCACACAGGGAGTGAATGCTACCAAAATTTAGAAGCAAAAAGGGGGAAAAAATATACCTATTTGTACGGGGGCAACATCTAAAAATGTCCCAGTCGGAACAGAAGTCACACTAACATTATCTTTGGTACAACCAATAGGTTCTGCCCAGAAGGTCTGTTTTAGCTTTCTGAGAGTACTAAACACTAGAGCAGAGGTACTTCCACTATGGACTTCGGTATGTACTACCAGAAAAACAGAAACATCAAGCCTAGGCCAGACTATAGAGGGGAATGGAAAGAAATCCCCCAGTGCATTAGCAGAAGGTGTTAATTAGAGTAAAACTCTTAAAAAAGGAAAGCAGAGCAGAGCAAATAAAGTTACTTAAAAAAAAAAAACAAACCAGAATCAAAACCCACCAAATCTCTGCTGTCCAAGACAAGCCAAATGAGACAATAACTACATTGTGGTAGTGGAGAAGGGAGAGTACTCCTTGAAATTCCAACTGCATGCAAAAGAAGCGAGGGGTGTAAGTAACACAACCAAAGCAAGAGGTTGCTTTTTGAAAAGCACATCAGCCAAAGGAAATAATTGCTAGGATCTATCTCAGCACTGAGTAACCCCTTGTGGGAGGAAAATGTGAAAAAACAGTTGTGAATGAAGTTAAAGTTCCAGGTAGCTAACAGCACAACTTTTTTCTTTTTTTTCTTTTTTTTCTTTTTTTTTTTTAAATTGTTTCCAACTTTACATTTGAATGTTTAACCTTTTACCTGACTGGAGTGTCTCCAATTTACTTTTATTCTTTAATCTTGTTTGATATTAAGCACAGCCTTTGAGTCACCTGGCAGACAAAGACTGTAATTTTGCACAACAAAATATTACAAATTACGGACTGGCATATCCCTGGAGTGCCTACCACCCAAAACATGCCGTGAAGAGCCGGGATACAAGTTTTCCACTACAGTGCAGTTTGGGTTTGGCCAGATACCAGAAGGATGAAGAAGAGCTTGTCTTGGCAGACAGTCAGGGTTCCTTTGGGCAAGAAGCAAAACAGCTATGAAAGCAGTTTATAACTAAGCACTCATGACAAGAAATCAAGTCAATCAAAGAATACGTCTATGAATAAGAATTCGCATCTGAACAGTATGGCACATCACTTGGAAATAAGGATCAGCAGTTACGATGTAATCACAGGCTACAGGTGATCCCAAAGCCCAGGCTGTGTATAAAGTCAGCTGGTTTACAGTATCCCATCTGTATGAGGAAGTGGGCAAAGAGGACACGCATCTAACCAATTATGTATCTCTTAATAAAGACTGTAGCTCATCTACATAGTGAATTTATTTATTAGCTAAGGCAACTTGTGAATTTACAATACGCTAAGACATTAAACTCTTAAGGGCAGCATCTGGCAAGCATCTACAGCCCAGCCAGCGCACTGCGAGCTCTGTATCTCACTTGCTGTAAACTCAGTTTCCTCTGTAGACAAGTGCTAATGCTGAAATCTTGCTTGCATCCATGCAAAAAGGAACACTTAATGTACTATCAAAGGCTGATGGAACAACTTCAGGTGAGTTTGAATCTTACGTGATTATACATTTTTTAATAGTCTTACACTCAGCTATTGGCTCCCTAGTATCAAGACATACATTCTGTAATTCATCCCTATGTTGGCGAGGTAAGAAACGAAGGAGTATTTATCTTTTTAAAACATAGAATGAATGCCAAATATTGATCTGAACTTGTGTATCTCCCTAGTATCAAAACATACATTCCGCAATTCATCCCTATGTTGGTGAGGTAAGAAACAAAGGAGTATTTATCTTTTTAAAACATAGAATGAATGCCAAATATTGATCTGAACTTGTGTATGGAAAAAATGTTTCCGTTTAGGACAGCATTGTGATGGATTTAATGTTGCGAAGCATGAATACTTCCTTATTTCCATCAAAATAGAGGATTTCCATAGATTGACTTCAAAAAAGCACGTGCAGCAGCATCACATTAATCACACAATGCAAAAGTTATTATAAATGAAAACTAGGCAATTTTGGAAGCGTACTGAGAGACCCTGTTTTGCTCGGTCTCCAGTAGGTCTGGGAAACACAGTTCTGCTTTGTGCGGGAAAGATGTTGTCCAGGAAATGCTTTTCATGTTTTAAAAACTACACTCAAGGATTTTTATAACATCGATAAAAGGGAACTGCTACTCACAGAGAAAGCTATTGCTCTGCATAAAGCATTTATTTCAACTAATAGGTGGTTTATTACACGGGTCTGAGCAATCTCAGTATTTGCTGAGGCAGAAATGGAAACAGTTTGGAAAAAAAAAAAATAATCATGAAGTTCAAACAGAGTAAAAGCATCTGCACATTGGTAAAAACAGGAAGTCTGTAAACCCCTATAAACCAGGATGCTATTTTATATACCATGATAGTAGAAGACACGATGCCACATTTGTTTAAAAAAGAAAAAAAAGTCAACAAATAAGTGTGTGTGTGTGTCTTATCTACCACCACAATAGCAAAGCTGATTGCTCGTGCAAGTGATCAGCAGATCCAGGAGCAATGAGTAAATTTCACAAGCCAGGAAGACAAACTGGGTCTACGTTAAAGCTCTGAAAAATGTTTTCCAAAAAGTTTAATTTTGAGCCCTTCGCTGTGGACAGTCTTAGTGGTAACAAAATGCTGTTCTGCCCCATTTTTAGGAAATCGCAAGTGACCTGGTTTGTAGACTTAAAAGAAAAATCAGAGCTTCTCTATGAAGCCGATCCATGTGGTATATATTTGGGGTATCTCTTCTCTCCCACAAATTAAAAAACCCAAAAGGTTGGGATTTCAGCTGGGCCTAACCTGTAGGCTCAGCCCAGCTCCCCCCCAGCGCGCCGGGGGTGTCACTGCCGCTAAAGCCGGGAGCTCGGAGCTGGGCTATGGGTGCGCGTGTGAGCCAAGGGAAGGAAGTGACACAGGCAGGAAAAAAGAGCAGATCGAGGGAAAGACTCAACTGCAGCTGGGCCTGCAGCGCGCATTCCGTCTAGGCCTGCCACACACCATCCAGCCCAAACACCGCTCTCCCCTCCGTCT